CTTTTAAGTTTTAACATATTTTTTTAGTACTAAGAAAAACTTTAAACATATTAACTTTATTTAAAATTTAATAAATTTTCAATTTCATCTCTATTAAATATATATACTTTTAATATTTTCGCTATCAAATATTTAATGGAAGATAAAAAAATTTGTTATAAAAATTTAATGATATAATTTATAAATAAGATTAAAAAGTTATTATCTTGCTATCTTATAAATGGGATTCAAGAAAGTATCATTTTAAGAGAGCCAGGGCCATTCCCCTTGTTCATGCTCGTCAAACAGGAAAGCGACGAAAGATTTGTTCATGAGATCTATCTACTTGGCACTTTCGAATTTGTGCATTAACCGAATATAGTAGTAGAGTTTTCCAACCACTCAGGACTTGTTTGTTTTCTGATTTTAATTTTTTTTATATTTTTTAAAATAAAAAATTTTAAAATTTATTTGAATAAATATTTTTCATTTAATTTTTTAAAAAAACAAAAATTGAAACAATTTCAAATTGTTTTCATTTTTTATTTAAAATACATTACATTTAATTATTAAAAATTATATTTATCTTGATTAAGTATTATTATTAATTATTATCATTAATTGTCTAATTGATTTTTTAATTTTCAGACTGTTTTTTAATAATCTCCGGTTTCCTCACTTTTTATTTTTTCATTATTATAAGATCGCTTATTATGTATCCCGTGGCCATATGACATCTAGCGCGAGACTAGAGACTAGAGACTTGTGAGATCTTTCTTGGTAGAAGATGAAGACACTCATCCGCTTGCCTTTTGGACGGACCCCACTTTTGTTGAAGGAAACGCAACTTTGGGCACGTTTGTTTTATGTTTTTAAAAATTGATTTTTGTTTTTTAAAATAAAAAAATTTAAAATTTTGTTTGTACCACTTGTTTTTTTATTTAATTGTTTCTAAAATTATTTTCATTTTTCATTTTTAAAAATAAAAAAAACAACTTCAAATTTTTCTTGTTTTTAAAATGCATTACATGTAATTATTAAAAATTATAGTTTTTTAATCTATTTCTGTTATTAATTACTATCATTAACTACTTATAATTATAATTATCAATTAATTTTTTAATTATAAAAATTTTTAAGTGATTTAACCAAACGAAATTTTATTTTATTTTTTTTAAAAATAATTTTAAAAACTATATTACAACATAATTTTTAAAAATAAAAAATAAAAATAAAAACTAAACATGCCCTTTGATTTCTAATACTTTTGTTGTAATTTTTTAAATCCTCACTTTTTTTTTAAGTATTCTGAATTTCTATAGCACCGTTCATAAAAGAATTTAAAATATTAAAAAAAATATAAAAATTTGACATATAAAAAAATATAACGATTTATAATAAAATTTAAATAAAATATAAAAATTTAAAATTATGTTTATCTTTTATTTTATATTCACCTCATCATTCACGTTCTTCTACTTCTAACTTATATATAATCACCATACTGCAAAGGAAATCACACACTATTTGTGGTTAGTTAAAAAGAATATTAATATTGTATGGCCCAAAATTCCAAAATACTCATCAAAGACCTCAGTTATCATTTACTAATATTTTAGAAAAAAGCTATATATTCCGTCAAAACGCTCTTACTTACAGACGACCTAGAAAGTTTAAAAAAATAATACAAAAAGAAAGTTTAAATAAACGAAGTTGAAACTATTGAAAGTTTAATTAGAATGATTATCAATCAAACATTTTTTCCCCCATGCATATTCCCTAATTTTCAGAATTTACAATTTAGAGTTTACGATTTTCAATTTAATTTTTAGAATTTTTAAACATACATGAATGTTTTGGTCATTAAATCTTCTTATATTGTAAAGTGTATCGGTGACAACTGTAGATGAACAGGTCCTTGAACAGTGTTTTTCCTTGTTTATCCTTGGTAAGTGGCAACCATATAGCTAATTTTTGAAAAAAATATAAAAGGCAGATCGCGGAACGCCGTAACAGTGTCGTTTCACTCATTATGTATCTGTTTAAAAATATCTTAGACAAAATTATATTTTGATCCTTTAATATTATGTCAGGTTTTATTTTGATTCATTAATCTTATTATTATTATAATTAATTTTTATTTTATCATATCATATATTCATATAATTTATAAAGTGCATACCATGTCAGTGTTTATAGTACATGATCGCACGGATGTTAAGTAAAATCAAATTAACCAAAGGTATTAAGAAAAAAAATCAATATGAACTTGCATATTTTTGCCATTTGATATTTTTTATCTTTATTTATAGTGATATTGCTTAATGTTTTTTTAATATTTGGTAATTATTTACATCTAATTTATTAGAAGCATGCATATATGTGTTCAAACATTTGCTTCATAGTGTTGATCATTAAAGGATAAAAAACTTTGTATCGTGGTACAAGAATTTTATATAATTGATTAACATTTAATTATGTTATATTGAACTGATTTTTTTTTATATATTCCTAAATGAGTTATAAATTAAAATAAACTGAAGAGAATATGAAACTGTTTTTAAAACATTTATTATCTACATGAGGAAAAGTCAATGTAACATGTGAAACGTTTTTTGAAAGAAATTTTTAACAGTTTATTTCAATAAAAAATTCTTAATAATATCAATGAAATGTAATAAGCCATTAATTTCAGTTTAAAAAAAATTAAGAAATAAAACTCATTGGAAACCATCGAGGTAAATTCCCTAAAATTACTAAATATATTTATTAAAATTAAAACAAAAGCTTCCTTTCATCATTTCGCATAAAGGAGGAAGACAAAAGATTTTTGAATTGTTGCCTATTCTACAACAGTTGTGAAAATTTTTCAAGAATAGTAAAAGACAACTTTTTCACACTTGCGAGCCAATTTTTTATGAATGATTCTCACAATAGCTTTTTTACTATGAAATTGCTATTTTTTTGAATTTTTAGGGACATCATTTGAATTATGAGGATGGTTAATTTTGTCGATAAAAGTTTCGCTGAATTACAACAGCCACGCTACAATGTCTAGATATCAGTTTCTATGGTCTACGTATTCAAATGTATGCAAGCACTTGACCCATTGAAGGTTGCTAGACTTAACTACATTCATAGGCACGGAGAGATGAACGAAATATGACTTCATGATAAATAGTAAATTTAAAAGAATATTAAAATGAAATACCATGGCAGTGTTTATAATACATGAATTTTTTTATAATAAGAGTTTATATGAAACCATAACAAAAATAAAAAAAAAAACATAAGTGTGAGACCATAGTAAAAAATGCTTATAAATATGAGACTCATAGAAAAAAAATCCACGAGATTGAATTTTGTTTAAATGTAAGAGATTTATCATTTGTTGATTGTATTTTGTATATGTATAAGATATTTAATTGTATATAACATATAAATTTAAATAATAAATTATAAAATAGGATATTTTATTATTTAAACTATTCAACTTATTCCTGTTTACTTTTATACATGAACAAATTTTAATCAATTCACCCTTTAAAAAATTAGTTAATCCTGAAAAGATTGAATTAAGATGTATTTGTAATTAACATTTTATTTTTCCCTCATTTAATGATACTATAAATCAATAGAGAGTAATTAAGAAAAGATATCATAAATACTTTTTTAAAATCACTGTTTTTCTTGTAAAAAAAAACAACAAACTATATGAAAATTTTGTTTATATTTAAAAATGAAGGAAATATATATAAAATTTGTCAATGGATTATGACATAACTATAGTGATTTGTTGAGATATATCAAATTTGAGTTTAATGATTGAAATAAATTCTATCACTTAATGAGTGTCACATATAATATAATAAATTGACTACAATTGTTCACTTTAAATTGACCATGTAAAATATTTTATCATACAATACTATCTATTTTTTTATTGTAAATGTAGTTGTAAATAGTAAATGTCTCACAAATTATAAAAATTCAAGTCTACGTCCATTGAAATTTAGGTCTACATGTACAAGATAATAAATTATAGAATAAAACAATTTTTTTATAAAATAAGTTGCTTATTTTTACATATAAGATGTATTTTTATTTTGTTATCTAGCACAATAAATTTGAAATTAGAATAGGCTGGTATTCATATATTTAATATCCATGGGGTGATGAAATTTAGAATAACGTAGATTGTTTATTTTTAATGGAATAATGAAATTTTAAATCCTTCAAATTTATTTAATTATTGATTTATTTTTTTAAATTTAATTTTTATCAATTTAATTTTTTTACGTTCTCTTAAATTGTCACTTTAATCTTTTAAAATAAATTTTTATCTACATTCAATTATACATGGGATAACAAATTTTATGATAAAACAAATTATTGTTTATTTCTATTTTCTAATCACAAATATGCTAGGAAAATAAAAATATATTTTTAATTTTTATTATTATAATTATTTATCTACAACCATATATACAACCATATATATAATTTCATTTCACAATTTCCATAAAATATTATTTTTATAAAATTATCAAATTAATATTTAACCATAATTTAACTTCTATTAATTTTTATAATTTGTTTGAATCAAAGAAAATGGTTGGGTGGTAGGATTTTAAATTTTAGTCACTTTAATTTTAAAAAAATAGAGAATTGTGGTTAGATAGTTTTTAATTGATTTTTTTTATTTTTTTTTCCTTTGATGTCCCTCAAATAAAATTTTATAACATATTAGTTCATTTTTTTAAAAAGAACTCTTTAAAATATGATCATTCTTTTCTTATTCACTTTAAGCAAAAAAAAAAAGAGATTTAATATTCCGCACGGTGTAAAAATCTAGTTTGACTTTTAAATGCTGCTAGTAATAATAGTAAAGAACTTGGCATTAATGCGTTCCCCTTTGTACGAGCCTCGCTCCGTCTTACGGTTCACGTAAGGCTTCTCTCGATTTCTCCTCTCTCTTAAATCACTCTACCGAATCACGTGGCAGACATGAATTGCCATTTTGATGCCACGGAAGCCTCTCTAGAAATCATAAAGCGTCGAAAATTTGCGTGCACGTCTTGTCGCGACGGGATCATATGTACCATTCCAATTTCTCCTTACAGTAACAACAAGCGCAATCCAGGTTCCTCACCCTCTGCCATCACACTCTCGCTCACTGCCTCCTCTCGCATTTGAGAATTCGCTTACAAACACGAACCTAATTCTTTATGCTCCCCGGAAAGTGTTAACGATGCTTTACCACCCATTGCTCTGCTGTTCCAGAGCTGCAATTCAGTGTGCACCTTTCGCTTCAGTTTCTTCCACTGGCGACCGCGGTGGGCCAAGTTCATCGGCAGGAAATTATTCTGGGCGTGCGGTGGGGTAATTTATTAATACTTGTTTTGATTTTTTGCTGTAATTTGATGTCAGTTTTCGTGGATCTACACCCGATGGATTGTTATTCAACTTCTGGAAAAGGCAGTGTAAAATGTGGTTCTTATATCCACGAAACAGAGGCATGCATGTTAGCATTTTAATCGAATAAAAGAATGCATTCTGGAGTTCTGTAATCTTAATTAACAGTTGGTTCGGGTTTGACAATATATACGCATCCGTTGTAAGACCTGGACTTTTAACGAATTTTATGAAAATTACTAATACTAATACGATTTGGTTCTTGGTAAGTGCAAGTGATTACTCTTGCTATCCAGATGATTTTGTCGGTAATTCTGCCGGTGATGTCCACTTATCCATTGAGTATTGTGTTTTTCTTTGATGCATTTACAAGATTAGTGAAACTTTTATTAGTTTATTAGATTTACAATTGTCTTAATTTTGGCAGGTTGAACTTTGGCAAGCAAGCATCGGGAAGGAAGTCAAACACCGGGCATAGAATTCTTAGTATGGTATGTCATCGACGTGCGCTAAGACACTCGAGAGACCTGTCAACACTATTGTAAATTTTGACTTAAAGTTTTGGCATAGGTTAGACAACGGACCGGGCCAAGGATAGTACAAGTAATGTTTACGGTCGTCATGCTCAGGAAGGTGTACTTGAGGTATCTGTTCCATTTGAGTTTGCGTGGTGTTGCATTTACTAATCTCTTGAATTTTGGGAAAAGAAAATGTGATCCTTGTTATAACACAGATGATTGTAGAACAGGTGGAGTAGTTACTGCGAAAAACAAAAAAAAATTTATAGGAGCTACGTGATGCAGCTCAATGGTATATATTTACTTGTCATCATGAAAGCAACAAATCAGGGCTGGTGTAACCAAATAGTAAAATTTGAATTTTAATCTGATTGTTCCTTGTAGGCTAGTATGAATATATGACCTTTGAAGTGATTGGAAATAGAGATGGAAGAAAATGTTGTAATGAATTATTTCTATCTTTCCATTTATACCCTAAAAAAAGGAACTATCTCTTTCTCTCACAAAAAAGGGGAAAGAAAGAGGGAAAATCACTCCAAGGTCCTTTTTAAGGATTTTAATTACTAAGAGATCTCGTGAAATGCACAAAATATTCTTAAGTCCCAAATCTTGTGCAATTTGGCAAAGGAAAATGATAACTTGAGTATGAGTTTAGTATCAAGTTGTCATTTTCCTTTGTCAAATTGTAATTACATAAGATTTGGGACTTGGCAGCAATTTGTACATTTTATGGGACTTTAAGGTAATTAAAATCCTTGTGTGAGACTTAGTAATTTTTCCGAAGAAAAATCACTGTCTCACGAGCTGCCTATCTCATTTCTTTTCAAGATTTTGGATTTGGATCTTTGTGCTGGAACCAACTTAGAAATAATTGCAACGATAACTGAAAATAGAGATGTTGTTACATTCAATATGTATGATAAGCAATATTTGCTTAAAAATTGTGAATAATGGTCAGCAGATTCAAAGAAAGAGCTCTTCCAACTTCAGGCTAGGGGAAAAAGAAGAAAGATAGGGATAGGGCCTTTCTTTTCCCAGGAGCATGTGTAGTCTGCTTATGTTGTTGGTGTTGTGTTATTCTCTTGAACTGGTTATTTTTGTTTATATTGTTGGCAATTATGACATATCATTGCCTACTGCTGTTTTTGTTCCCAAAACAACAGCTTGAGCTGTCTTTACTAGTCAAATTTTATTTACAATCTTTTCCTTGTTTCTGAGTTTCTAGATTTTCTAAAGGGATATAAATTTGATATATCATGTGTAGCATATCTATAATTTAAAACTTTTAAAAATAATACTGTGCTGCATCTTGTCTATGACTACATCTTTTTATCCTTTTCAATTCCGTTCAATGGCAAACTGCACATCTGTTGTAAATGATATCTTTGTTCTTCAAGTCAGGTGTTTAATGATAGAAATCCATATAATCTTATTGCAATTGCAGGAAGAGGCTTCTCAAGTGCCAAAGACCAGACCATCATGGAAGATTTTCCCTGGCCAAGCATATCCATTGGGTGTATCAGAAGTTGAAAATGGGATAAATTTTTCTATTTTTTCGCAGCATGCCACTGCTGTAACACTTTGCTTAGTCCTTCCTGAAAATGAAAGGTGAATCTGTATGTCTTGTTTATTTTCTATTTTTGCACATGAGTGTTTTTTGTCTTGCAAGTGATGCTTTGTTGACTGTAACATTGCCTGCACTTCTGTGCAACAAAACCTTACAGTTGCTTTCTTGACTTCACTCGCCACCCCCCCCAAAAAAAGCAATAGTCTGGGTTTATTTATCCCTCAACTTTTCTGATCTCCCTTAGTTTTGCTCATTTTTCTTTTGTTGGTCCAAATTCTTCAGGGGAAGTAGTGCCACACTGGATGGTGGCATGGAAGAACTGGCTTTGGATCCCCATTTGAACAAAACGGGGGACATTTGGCACATATGTATTGAGGTACTCTTGCTATTAGATTGCCTAACATTCTGCCTTGCCTTGGTCTTTAGTTGAGATTGCACCAGATTGCATCCATCTCACTTGTTCTCTAACTTCACAAATACAAAACCTGTGTGAATATTGTAGTGGCCTTCCCACTTGGAAGTTGAAAAAGGCTTTTTAGAGTCTGGATAAATTTTGTATATCCTTTGTGAATGTTTGTCTCTGACATTTCTCACTAAACTGACAAATATGAAATTTATTTAAGGCAAAACATAACTTTGGGTTTCTATACTTTACTTGCCTTTTGTTATAGGTCCCTATACTTTTTTCCCGATATTCTAGATCCTTACACTTTAGTTTTTTGGTGTTCTAGGTTCCTCCATGAATAATGTGTAGGGACCTTGAAGGAACCTAGAACACCGAAAAAAAGTGCAGGGACCTATAGTAAAACACGTGCAAAGTGCAGGGATCCAAAGTTATGTTTTTTGTTTATTTAATGTATATTGTGCTGTAATTAAAGTATTTGCATTGATCGACATAGCATGCTATTTGAATGTTCAAGATGGATTGGTTGCCTTTATTGCCAAAGTGGTGTTGCACTTTATTAATTGGAATTTGTCAATTTAATTGGAATAGATTTTTCTAATCTGATGCGGTTGTACTATATGTCTATGCAGGTGAAGGTTTCAATATCAGATATGATGCACTTGTTGGCCCTGTCTGATTTTTATTGGAACCTTATAGACATTAACCGTATGGATGAGAATTTTCATGAAGGAGGAAATACCCTGTTGAGAGATGAAAACATTTTTCAATAGATTCGATAGGCACTTGGTGAATTTGCTTTTGTTCTGGGGTCAGTTAACTTAGTTGATCTTGAATTTGTGAACTCTTACGGGTTTTGTGATTATTAAAAGGTGTTTGTTAAATGTTAATAGGTACTTCTTTGAACTATGTATGTTTGATTCCTGCATCTTTCAGTTTTCATGAGAGTCATCCATAAATATTTGATTCCTGCCTCTTTCGGTTTTCATGAGAGTCATCCATACTGCTATAATATTGAACTAATCTGTGTTGGAACAATTTCGAATTGATTTATGTTTGTATTGTATATGCTTATATTGTTGCAGGGAAGTCATCTGATACGAATATATAGCTCAAACTGTTTATGTTATCTGTTACAATTTTTTTCATTGGCTTCTAAATGTTTAATGCGTATGCGTATCTTGTTATTTCTTTTCCTTCTATTTTATTTACACTATTAATGCTCAGACGCTTATATCATCCATGAAGCAGCAGCAGTATTTTAACATATAATGAAGCAGCAGTAGTATTTTAACATATTTTTCCACTTTGACTTACAGGATCTTCCACGGAGCAATGTTCTTTACGGTTATCGTGTAGATGGTCCTCAAGACTGGGGGAAAGGGCATCGATTTGACAACAGCATTGTGCTTGTTGATCCTTATGCAAAGCTAATTGACGGTCGGCGATATTTTGGGGATACTAGCATGAAGTTGTCTAAATTTCTTGGCACATATAATTTTGACAGCTTGCCTTTTGATTGGGGAGAAAACTACAGGCTTCCAAATATTCCTGAGGTAGTTTTCCTGTGATACGAAACCTATTCTAATGCCTTCTGAATACTAAACTACAGAATGGAGATGGAGTGCTGGAACTGATTCTGAAATGTATTTATCACCTTTAACAAAAGTAGTTACCTCACTGAAACTGATAGAGACTTTGGTAGGAACACCAAAAGGCACTGATATGGATACCCTTGATAAATAATGCAGTCTTTAGACCCAAGAGTTGCAAAGCCCCCCCTCTCCCCACCAAAAAAAAAGCACCTCACACAAAGTCACTGCGACAAAGAGTAAAGCACAAAAATAGTAATAAGAATACAAACACAACCAGAGAGCACAAGTACAAGTACCAGCTTTTGACACTCCAACCGTCTGACAAGATTTCCTTTGCCAAATTTCTCATCTTCCCTGCTCTCAGTTTCTTCCTTTAAATACTTCCTTCCAACTACTCTCAATCAATCGCCCACTGCATCATGGCTTCCCCCGTTTTTTTTTTTTTTTAAAACTCTCGTCTTCCTGGTTTTCCTTTGTGGACCTACCAGTGGTCCTACTTCCATCTCCCGTTTTTTCTCCCTCTTCTTTCCTATTACTTATTTTGGCTGCGGGATTAGGTGTACAAATGCCATCATCCTGCTTGTATGATATGTTCGCTCATGAGTGATAACTATCATGAGATTCCCCCTAGAGCGTGGTTGAGTGTGGTTGTGGATACATCCATCTCTCTCATTTTCTATCTACTCAATATGATTTTACAGATGAAGTCAAGTGGTTTTCATTTGTGTAGTTTGGCTGATAATCTGACTCCATATTTCATGGCTTTGGCTGTCTGCTTATGCAGAAAGATCTTGTTATATATGAAATGAATGTTCGTGCGTTTACAATTGATGAATCTAGTGAGTTGGATCTTGACAGTCGTGGCAGCTATCTTGGTGTTATTGAGAAGGTAAAAATTATTCTTTTGTGATCAATCAAAAATCATATTTTAGCCTATGGCCTCTGAAATTTTCTTTAATGCCTGTGATAGTAACTGAATAACTTAAGAATGGAACTAGGACTGGCATGGGAGTGAGGATACATATTTTATTAGGGAGATAAGTGAATATTAAACATGTGTGACCCCCTTTGCATGGAGAGGACTAAACTCCTAGTACATAATCAGATTTCAGAAGAAAATCTTCAACTAGTCTAATCTGATATTTATACTAAACATCCTAATCGACCAAATAGAAGTAAATTAATTAATGGCACAGAGAGAGAGAGAGAGAGAGAGAGAGAGATTCTGTTGCCAATAACTTGCCCAAAAGTATAAATGACTTCCCTAACAGTAGGGTAGACTTGGATCGCTACCTCTTCACTGATAAGCGATCACTGCTATACCCCCATTTTTCATCCTTTTAGAATGTATTTGGATTGGGGTTCTATCAATGCACCCCTCCTGAAGAGAATCCTTGTCCTCAAGGCTGATAGAAGGAAACTATTTAGATGACAAATCATTATTTTCCCTGCTTACTTCTTCAATAGGACATTCCTGCCACTAGACTAGGAGTGCAAGAGCACTCCAAAATCATGTATCTAGCCATGAGCAAGTATTTTGGCAGGTTTCTAGCTGTAATTCCCATTTTGCATTGATTGGAAGTATAGCAGGGAGCATGGATGGAATTTGACCCCAAGCATGGTGTCATAAAAATACATGGAAGATAGGCTGTTTCCTTAATGTGGTTGGTGGCTCTTGCTCATAAGAAACTGGTCCTTCTCTTCAAACAATTTTGTATGGGCCAAAAAAATGGGGAGAAAGGTTTTCAAACCATTGTTTACCCAACTAATGCTGTCTGTGTGAAGGAAGACAACTTAACCTACTTGAAGAGAAACCTCTTGGCTTTTAGATCAAATGAAAGCTAGTGTTAGAATACCACCAAATAGACTTCAATTATTTTTTTTTTCTTTAGGTCTATTGAAGTGCAGTAATTAAATATAGACGGAAAACTGCAAAAAAAATTATAAACATGGTCAGATACAAGGGTTTAAATAATGGATTAATTCAGGTTTTGCTTCCAAACTGTTGAAGGAAAACCCTTAGTGAATTTACTCGTTTGGCCAAAAATAATGGATCCCTTGCCCGATAGGATCTGATTTTGAAATGTTTTAGTTAGAAGGGTGCAAAAAAATTAGTGAGAGTCTGTTTGTCAAATCACAATCATGCATATGTTTAGCTCTAGAATACCAAAGATGGGGAGGATCTTCCAAATTGCTGCGTGGCTGGCTATGTGATACTACTGCCTGGCATCCCAATTCTTCTACGCCACTCAATGTGTGTGACTTTGTGTATTAAAATATGAGAGTGAATAATATATAAGAGAGTGGCAGTAAAAAAAGGTGGCAAGTTTAACTTTCTTAGATTTACAAAAGATGAGAGCCTTTTCGTTTAATTGTACACAGTATTCTGAAAAGGAAAGAAGGTAACAGATTTTGCTGTCAGATGGCATAATGTGATATTCTTGTGTTTAATATGTTAGATAGAGCTTGTAAAAGTTTGTGAACCTCATAGTCCCTACATACTGCATTGCTGCTGTGTTTTGACAAGAGACTTTACATGTTCATGATTTTTTATAGTAGATAGTGTTTGTAACAGCCCTCCGCTCACCCCGCCTACCCGAGGTCTTTTGCGGCGCTGGACACTCTCCCCCCAGGCCCCACAACAGGGCGACCCCACCCCTTACGGTGAGCATCAGGAGACAAAGGCTTCCCCGCAGTAGTGTGCGGATTATTCCCCTTGCGGAGAGCCTCCCCAGGTTCGATCCTCCAACCTCTCCTACATAACAAAGTTGAGGCTGAACCTGGTATGGTACCAGGTTCAGCCTCAACTTTGTTATGTAGGAGAGGTTGGAGGATCGAACCTGGGGAGGCTCTCCGCAAGGGGAATAATCCGCACACTACTGCGGGGAAGCCTTTGTCTCCTGATGCTCACCGTAAGGGGTGGGGTCGCCCTGTTGTGGGGCCTGGGGGAGAGTGTCCAGCGCCGCAAAAGACCTCGGGTAGGCGGGGTGAGCGGAGGGCTGTTACAGTGTTCTTGCTGTTTATGATGACATCTTTTTTTAAATAATTAAAGCAAGAAAGCCTGTTTACCCAAAACAAAGAAAGAAAGAAAGCCTTAATCCTCCAAAACTTCGCCACCACTTCACATAATTATGGTGTCATCATGGAAAATGGAGTTGGAGTTTGTATACAATCTTTCAAAGATTACTGTTGGGACTTGTACACTGCTTTAGATTTATACTTTGTGTGTGTAGGGAAAACATATTATTGAAAATTTGATTTTAGATATCTGAGAGCTACCAGGTGATATTTGGCAACAAAATTGAATTGGGGTAAAAGACTCAGAAGGCATGTAAACTTCAACATTCTGTATTTCTACAATTCTGCTTGTTATTCGGTGACTAAAATTAGTCCCTTATTCTTATGATGTATAAGCTCTAAGAAGGAAGGGGGCATGGGCTTTTGACTGTTATCTGTTTCTGCTGGTATAGGCAGAATCAAGTCTTGCTGAAAAGTGCTTCTGCTTAAACTATCTATTAATCGAAATTCCTTTATTATTCTCTTACTGGTCAAAGAAGTCTGTCATCTTTATTACTTAGAATTTTAGAAAATAAAACTTTTAATTCTGACTTTCTTTTGACTTAGTCTTGTCATGTTTTTTTCTTATTTTCATTTATTCTATTACTCATTTGAAAGATCCCACACCTTCTGGAGCTTGGCATCAATGCAGTGGAGTTGCTCCCTGTCTTCGAATTTGATGAGTTAGAATTTCAGAAGCGTCCAAACCGGAGAGATCACATGGTATGTCCGAGAAGTGTTATGTACTGTGTTATAAGGCGTCCCATAATAACTCGTTATTTTGTACTCTGTATGTTTGTTATCTTAAATACATCATTATGTACAATTTATTTCATTTGGATACTAGGGCAATAATCATGCATTTTATGGTATGAAATTTACACTAGTTATCTTAAGGCTGAATAATTCTAATGCTATCATTTATTTCTCTTTTCATGATATCAATTAGCACGTGGAGAGTTAAGCAGACATTTCTAGTGTATTAATGTTATTCGGCTTTCTATTTGAAGATGGCATTATATGTAACACTGAATTCTTGAATGCCCTTAAATGTACTGAAATTTAGTTTTTTCGTCATTTTTTTTTCAAGATCAATACATGGGGTTATTCAACAATAAATTTTTTTGCTCCAATGAGTCGCTATGCTAGTGCTGGTGGAGGACCAGTTAAAGCTTCCTGGGAGTTCAAGCAAATGGTTAAAGCTTTACATTCTGCTGGCATAGAGGTGACATGAGTACTCAAACTCCAGTGAGGAGTGGGAACATATTTTATATTCTGGCTTTTAACTCACAGTGGAGTTTATTTATACGCAGGTTATTTTGGATGTCGTCTACAATCACACTAATGAGGCTGATGATGCAAACCCATATACAACCTCATTCCGTGGAATAGATAATAAGGTGATATTTGACTTGAATTCCTGTGGTTGACTGAGTATGTTATCTACATTTGGATTCTTACCATATGGCCTGGCTATATTTGTATAAACTATAAAGTAGTATGTCTTAGAAATCAATATAGTATTAGTTTCCGTGTGAGTTTTTCATCCAAGAAGTTGCCCCTCTAGAAAAGTTTAATAGTCTATGATTGTTTTTGTGATATAGATCATTGAAAAAGTTTGTTCTTCCTGTATTCGAACCATCTCTATTTTCTTCTGACATATCAGCATATCTATTTTACAGGTTTATTACATGCTGGACAATGATGGACAATTGCTGAACTTCTCAGGATGTGGTATTTCAACATTTATTTTAGTCTTCAAGAAGTTTCCTTTACAACTTTGTTCAAGTTTATGTGCAATCTATTTCACCTTTTTGGAGTCCTTTGTCATCAAACCATGAACTCAAGGTCTAGCTGGATAAATTTCACATCAGAATCCCATGTTTCTGATGTGGGACTGAAGTCCCTTCCTTGTAAATGGTTTCTAACACAGAATGACAATATAAAGCAAACTGCTAGATTCTTAGGAACCAATGTAAAGTGCACCATGGTATGATGATGCCAATCAAATGGTATTAATTCTTTCTTTGATGTTTAAAGGGTAAAGAATATATTCTAACTTCAACCTATTCTGGTATTCAAAGGGTCAAGGTATATTCTAACTTCAACTTATTCTGGGACATACGGATATGTATATGTAACAGTATGTCTTAATATGGAATTCTACATTTGCAATGAAAATATACTTTGAAGTTCCTGAGACTTGCATACCACTTTATTTGTAATTTTTACAGAACATATCTACCAGATCCAATAAATAGATTGATACGTTCTATGATAGGTTGTAATTTGCAGACTTTCTTTGTGCACTGTTCAGAATATATTAAAGTCACTCTTTTGATCTAACAAAGATTCAGTTTACTGATCTCAGTATGCGAAGTTCTCTCTTTTGAACTTTGAAGTAATTGTTTATCGCAGGAAATTCATTGAACTGTAATCATCCTGTGGTTATGGAATTCATTCTTGACAGCCTTAGACACTGGTATGAACTACTTGGATTGAATCCATTATGGATATGGTTGCCAATGACATATATCATGAGTTATCTTATGAATTTCATACAATTCCTTATTCTTCTTAATATTACAGACTTGGTATACTTAGAATTTATGATATTCTGGTCTTTTAAAATTTTAGTTTTAGATACTCATAAAGCTTAAAGTTATCTATATCTACCTTGTTTTTTAAATATATTTCTTGTTTACATAGTTGATGGTGTAGGCTATTATGTTTCAATGTGGTCACTTTCATAATCATCTTTGGGGACCTGATCATGTTTGACAGCCCAGCACACTAGCTTTACTGCTGTTAGTTTTGTTACACAACTAGTCTTTCATGAGGGTGCATAAATTACTGACAATTCCATAATAACCTGATATAACATGAGCAACTCTAAATTCTATGGAAGCACTCTGCTATCTTGTGATTTATATATTAATTTTTTTTTCTTTTTGGTTTTTTTATACATTTATTTTTTTCCTGTTTTATCATTGAGTAGCTTATTCACATCAAGAAGATTGTGATTGCTAATTAATACCATTTACATTATTGTAGGGTCACTGAATATCATGTAGATGGGTTTCGGTTTGACCTTGCTAGTGTCCTTTGTCGAGGAATTGATGGTTCCCCCCTTAACGCTCCCCCACTTATCAAGGTAACATGCACAGCACGTTTTGCTGCAAATAATTTGCTGAGGCGTCAGCTTGAGATTTAATGATAGTGATTAAGTAGTTCTACCCTTAACACGAAAATTGTGAGCAATCACTTGAATGTTCGGCGCATATGTGCACATAATCAAGTGCAACTTCACAGCATCTTCATGCTTACCTGAAAATGGGAACTAGGAACGTAATTCACCATTTTTTATTTGTTAAACATCTTGAGGATATAAATTTTTTGTTAAGTATACTAATCTTATCACTACTTGTCCAGGCAATTGCCAAAGATGCAATTTTATCAAGATGCAAAATTATTTCAGAACCTTGGGACTGTGGAGGTCTCTATCTTGTTGGAAGTTTCCCAAATTGGGATCGGTACTTCTTGTTTAATCTCTTGTTTATGTTTATTTTATTTGATATTGTTATATTACCACACAATTCGAAAAAGCACACATTTCTGGACATAAAAGACTTTTATAGAAGTTAGTTGCTAATTTGAACTGTACTATTGAATTCATAGTGTTACCCATTGTTATGTGGGCTCTAATAGAGGCTGAGGAGGTTGGTTAGTTAGGGGATTAGTATAAAGATGGGATATGTGAGTGTAAGACGTTTTTGACGTGTAATACCCCTTTATGTGTTACTGTGCATCAACTGGTCATCCTCAGCATCACTTCAACCTCGCCTACAGAACCATTTGTGGTTAGCATCACCAACTTCACAGCCATGTCCTCCATGAAAAAAACTTCAGAACCATTTGTGGTTAGCATCACCAACTTCACAGCCATGTCCTCCATGAAAAAAACTTCAAGTTACAGGCTGCTTAAATTCATCCTCGTGTGTAAACGTCTCTAAACAAGTGCAACTACAATAATCACCACATGGAGCTCCGCCCTTTGCTCAAGATATCCAAGGTGTTTGTGTGAATTAGTTTCTGGCACTGTCCTTTGCATTGGATTTCTGTTGACACTGGATGTCTGGAAAACCAGCTTTGGTACTGATTCGTACATAGTAGAACATAAAGGGGTTTTATTCACTTGCCAGACACTTATTACGCTCTCATCCCCTATTCATACCAATCTCCTAACTAACCAACCTCCTTAACAGCTATTAAACCGTGCTTAACACATACTTGGGGAACTTGAAGTTTATAATGGATAGGTTGGCTGCAGCTTCTGGTGATCTGCAGTACACTGGTAGTTAAACCTCGAAATCTACTTCTAAACCGCATCTATATGTTTTTATTACAATGGAAACGATGCTTTAAATAGCATAATTTCTGTGATGGATCTCATAAACTGCATATGTTTTTATTTAATTTAACTTTGTCTTTGATAAAGGTGGGCTGAATGGAATGGGAAATATCGTGATGACATACGCAGATTTATCAAGGTAATTCTAAGAGGAAGCACTTACCTAATTTGTTTCAGTTGGTTATGTAGCATTATTTGCAAATAGTAGCCTGTGGTCACATCCAGGTTGCTTATGATTTCATTCGGATCCGTTGAGAAGAGCAAGATACAATTCTTGTATCTTTTACTCCTGATTAGTTCTTTTTCCCCATGATATAATCTAGGGTGACTCTGGTATGAAGGGGAGCTTTGCAACTCGTGTTGCTGGATCTTCTGACCTTTACAAAGTGAGCATAAATATTTACGCATTTTATGCATGTAATTTCTATTTGTTTGATCCCCTGCTTTTTTTCCCCTGGGTTCTGGATGAGATTGTTATGCTGTCGATCCATTGTGCTAGAATACTAGGTAAAATGAGTTTTCAGTATTCTCAATTTACAATATATGCCACAAATATATGATTTTTAGTAGAAAAAATTTAATAAAAAAGAAGTCAATGCATCAATGGAGGACAGTCCTCTAAAACCAGAAACCACAAAAAATTGGCTATCATAAATGTGTCAAGGACAGCTTTTTCTGGAACTTATTGTGGGGCATAATCACAAGGCACTTTTCTAGATGTTGAAACCAGATAATATTTTTCCTGTAAAACTAAATTGGACCAAATTTAGTACTTCCAATTAATTGTATTACTGAATAAATACTAGTCGTCATCATAGTACCATCAAACTCTTGTAGCTCCAGCATCTGAAAGCTTGTGGTTGATTTTGAGAAAATTATTATTATTTTGGTAGATTTAGACTCTGAATCACCTAATTTATTGGTTCAGTTGTCAATGTAGTTAAGTCATCTTTAAATTTCTTTTCTTTTTTTAATTTTCTGACTCTTTTCTTCATTACTTTCTAGTACTTTGAGATTGAGCTTCTTTCTATTGAAGCGGTAGACAAATATCAATTTCTACCACCTACATTGATTTATTGAACTCGTGAATTTAAAATTTGTAACAGCTGAAGTTCACTTTCCAATTTTTGCGAAGGTCTGTGTTGAGATGTTTAGACGACTAATTCTATGGTAACAGTTTTGTTTGTTTTCATTCATTTATTTTACAGGTGAACAAACGCAAGCCTTATCATAGTATTAACTTTGTTACTGCTCATGACGGTTTCACCTTGCATGATCTTGTTTCATACAATTTCAAGGTACTTAATTCTGTTGCTCAGTTTGTCATTGATCTCTAGAACCTACTATCTCCTTGAATTGATTATTGGTTTTATAGCACAATGAAGCCAATGGGGAAGGTGGAAATGATGGAAGCAATGATAATTTTAGCTGGAACTGTGGTTTTGAAGGTAGGGTCCAAATTTTAATGCTTTATCTGTTTCTTAGTAATTCTATTCCGTGTTCAGCAATACCCAGTTCCGGGGGTGGGGGGCGCGCGTGCAGGGGAACACTCATCAATTTGTAAATATATTCAAGGCCATGGGGGATCTGAATGTCAGGAAAGTGCAGTTATTGCTCAAGACAGAAATTTGCTCTCCTACCGTGTGACTTACAAGCATCGTATCTCAGCACCACAACATTATCCGATAATGTTATTCAAAAGTGATTTGATATGATAATCCGTTCCTAGAAAATGCTTCAAAAATAAAGCGTTGCAGTTTGAAATTTTCATTGCAGCATTGATGACTTTAGAAACCAACCATGTTACAGACTTTGCTGGAGCAAACTCATTGATAGTCTAAGTAATATATATATATATATATATATTTCTAGACGAGTCTGAGAAGTAGGCCATGTCTGCTTCCTTCCTCTTTGGAATTGGCTTCTTGGCAGTGTGGACATTGTAACCTGAACCCTTGTGAAAAAGTTCAGGACATTAATAACCTGCAAATAGTACTAAGGTCCCTTTACCAAGGGTTGTAATGCTTTCAGTCAAATAACTGAGCCTATCTTTTACTCAACTATTTGGCTTAACTTTATATATGTGACAGGGGAAACTGACAATGCTACTACAAAGGCTTTACGATCACGGCAAATGAAAAATTTCCATTTGGCATTAATGATATCTCAGGTATATATTTGAAAAGCATTGTTGCATGCTTTCAATATTTTGTCAGAATATAAACTATTTTGGATTCTTCTACTCAACTTTTACTGACTTTCACCAGTTGATTACATTTTTTTTTAAAACCTGCAGTATGTATTTAGTTTACTTTGTATTACTGTATAGCATTTCTATTTGCATTATTTTGTTTCTTATAAAAGAACATAGAAGATGCTGCTGCATGATATCACTTGTTTGCATGCTGCTGCGGGTTGAACCAGATCTGTGATTTCAGTTTTGTAATAAAATGACCAGGGTACACCAATGATGCTAATGGGAGATGAGTATGGCCATACTCGTTATGGAAATAATAATTCCTATGGGCATGATACTGCTATTAACCATTTCCTCTGGAGACAGGTGAGGTTATAACGAGTATAACTTTCATGTTGACAACTTCCCTGAGATAATTGTTGATAGCATGGTCTATATGCTCAATAGTTGAAAGCACGGAAGAGTGATCACTTCAGGTTTTTCTCAGAGACGATAAAATTCCGGCGTGGGCATAGTGTATTCAATCATGAAAATTTTCTTGGCAAGGTAATCTCTTGCTTTAAATTTTAGTACAGTAACCACAGATGTTTATGCAAAATATTTGTCACCATTTGTTCTCATGGAGCAATCACAATTTATGCAGAATGATGTAACATGGCATGAAGACAAATGGCACGATTCTGGCAGCAAGTTTCTTGCATTTACGTAAGAATCGTATCACATCTGTATAGTGGGAATTGAAATTAGAACATCATCTCACTTTTCTAATGTTTTCTGGGTGATAATTTGCAATATTTGGTCATAGAGATCTGCTTATAGCATAACAAGAGGCGACAGCATAATAGCATCCTGTCCTTATAGCATAATAGCATAACTCTTGAGCCATATAAGTACGATTTCATTCTTGAATAATGTTCTATCAGCAGACGATGCTTTTCATTTATATGATCCCTACCACTAACTTAAGCATTGTCAACTTCCACGATTATAACTGTTCAGCCAGCTATAACTTATCAGCGCAAAAAGAAATAATAAGAAAAAAGCCAACTACAGCTTGAAGTAACATTTTTTTCCATGAACCTCGGACTTTCTGTTCCCAGTCTAAGATCTGCCATTTTTTTGAAATGGATTTAGACTTCATTACGATTTTTTCATGAGAAAACAAACTTCTCCATAAAGGATTTTTGCAACATCGACAAGATCATGTCATTGCAAACAAGACATGTTAGTTGATTGATGTGCAACTGCTGGATCTCAATATACTAACAAGCAAAGGTTTGATTGGCCTGATGACAGACAAAATCAACATTTTTCTTCGAAGGACTTACGAAGACTTTACCTGTGATGCAGGCTTCATGACAAAGGTGGCGGAGACATCTATCTGGCATTTAATGCACATGACTTTTTTGTTAAAGCCATGTTGCCCCCAGCTCCAGCAAAGAGGAGTTGGTTTCGTGTGGTTAGTTCTTCCTCCTTTTGGCATGAATCCAAATTTGACTTATTTTCACCTAATTCCCAGAAGCATAACCTCAGTTATTAAAATTATTATAATTCTCCACGGACCACTGGGCACTGGCCACCCTTTGAGGTTTGGCCAAATTCCCCTTTAAGAAAATGCGTGTAATAGTGCATTTTCCCACACCATAAAGAGATTAAAACTCCATGGCGGTTGTTTTAGTTTGAAAAAAGAATTTATTCAGTTTCATTTGTGAGAAAATTTTCTTTCCGGTTCTCTGTGGTTTTAATCAGAATTCTGGCTCGCTACATGCAGGTGGACACTAATCTCAAATCTCCGGATGACTTTGTCCTCGATGGTGTCCCTGGCTTAGGAAACAGCTACAATGTAGCTCCATACTCCTCCATTCTTCTTGAAGCCAAGTCTTGATTGCTCAGTCTTTTCAACCGCATGAATACCGGAAAGCAGCTTTAGGTTAGTTATTCCATATACCTCGAGAAAGTTTGCGCTTGGGTTAGCAACGCCTGATGCTGTATCTTAACCCTTGTGTAGATATACCAAGCAGAAGAAAACTATATGCGTGCAAAACCTATATCGCCCTTTTGAGGGGATTAATGTCTGATCGTTCCAAGAATCCAACAGGACAACTTGGATGTAACTGGTGCAGAAATAGGCGTGACTGAGCACGGTTGATTTTAGCATACTATAACAGAGGCATTTGGACATGTATATAATATGAATTTGAGTTCATAATTAATTAATTTTAGGATGTAATAAGAATGTTTGGATATATTTTTATAGAACTATGGATTTAATGGATTTTCAATTTTGCTTCAAAGGCAATTTTATTAATCAATTATACCATAAAACATAATATCAATTTTTTTCATATTTAATTTTATCTAACAAATATGAAACAAACCCTAGCATGTGATTGACGACTTAGAATATCCAAAATGTAAGGGCAAACAAAAGTAGATGTAGCAGGTCTTTTCAAAGTAACAATGAATTGTCATCTAATGATGAGAAAATGATAATATATTATTATATATATAATAATTTAATCTCTCAAAATAAATAAATTTTAAGTTAAAAATATATTTAGCTTTTTAATTTTATATGACATTTCATTTTAATGAAATGCATTTTTTTTTAATCTTATCATTATTAGTTTTATCCCAATAAATTTTTACAATAAACTTTAGATATTGATAAAATATTTTAAATATAAACATGTTAAGTTTATTTTTTTTTAAAATAACAATGATTAATACAAAAATAATCATTAATGTTAGGAATAAAGGATTAAACAAATACTTTATAAAGGATCAAATCAAAACCTTATATAAAATTAAAGGATTAAAAATATATTTTACCTAAATTTTAAAATGAAAAAATTATTTTATCTTTACTGAAAATAATAAGTTTCAATTACAACTTTTATTTTGTAAATATAAGAGTTGAATAAAAATCACTAATTTGTCAATATAATTTTTGTTACTAAAAAATAAGTTTCAATCACAACTTTTGTTTGAGGAATAATAACTTTTATATAAATATAAGAGTTAAATAATAAATCACAATTTATTAAATATAATTTCTATTATTAAAATATAAGTTGTCACAAGTTTTATTTATAACTTTTGTTTAAAAAATTACAAAAATTTAAAAATAAATCACAATTTGTGAATAAGAATAAAATGTTCTTTTCAATTTAAAATTTATTGACAAAGATGTTTCTAAAAATTTCAGTAGAATTATGATATTTTAAAAGATCAAATTATGATTTATATAATTAGGAGAGATTTTATTTTTTATTTTTCCTTTAATGATATGTATTTAGAATCTTTTTCCCACCGTCACCCTTTAATTAATAGAAGGAATTAAAACACTCATCACACTCACAGAAGGTGGAACCTCCAAGCTCATGTTTAGCAAATACTTAAAAAAAAAAAAAGACAGAAATGAAACATTTTAAGTGAATATTTGGTTGGGAGGGAGAATTAAGTAATACCTGATTCAAACATTATGCAAAAAAAAAAATGTATCGTTGTGTTGAATATTCGGCTACTAGTTCTACAGAATCAAATGCTTGACAAGATCAACTACTAACTATCGATGACTATTTTCAGATTTGCTCCAAATTGACCACCATGTTGATTTATGTTGTAATTGAGTAATTACGATGGAGTGCATCAACAATGCGCGTGTGTGGGTGAGGGCGTTCAAAGAGAGGGCTAAGCCCAAAGAAAAACACGGTCACATAGTGGGAACAGGAGTCCCATACTGGCTTCATAGATGGCAGGCATGCAAATTGAGGAGTGGAGGGGCTGCTTGCTTGTAGTTATTAAGTGTGCATACATACAAATAGCCTTGTTGGAGAAACTTTTCCCCCGATTTGTTGGAAGCAAGTTTAGGAAAGAAGTGAAGCGATGTCTTGGCCAGTGGGCACGGAATTGTTGCAACACAGGAAACTCCCGAGCCCCGCGGAATTGCACAGTTGACCAAAAACAATCCACTCCAGTTAAAACGCTCCGGTCGCAGCGCTTGACTTGACCCAGGAGGACCCACCTAGAAAATGCTCCTGGCCTCTTCACACTTTGACACCGAGCGTGCCCCACACGCCCCTTCCTATACTAGCACCACCCCTCCGCACTCTCTAATCCCATTTCTTTCTCAAATCGCAATTAATTAAGAGCGTAAATGGCTTGCGTGGCAGTCTACCACGTCGTCCTCTGGGCCTCCCTGCTCGCCACATCACCCCTCGCCACCTCTCAGCAATCTCCCTCTTCCTCTCCCGCCTCCTCGCCCTCGCCCTCTCCGCCGAAAGTCTCTCCGGCGCCAGCCTCTCCTCCTCCTCCCCCAAGGCCTCTTCCTCTCCCACCCCCTCTCCCCCTCCACCTTCCTCCTCTTACTCCGCTCCTCCTCCTCGAAAGATGTCGTCTCCGGCGCCCCCTCGGACCACCACCCCTGCCTCTTCCCCTTCCTCCACCAATTCCCCTCCCTCTCCACCCTCCGACTCTCCTCATTCCGCTTCCGCCGACGGCCCGACCGCCGCCACTGCGCCATCGGATGCTCCCGATCAGGTGACTCCTGCCTCCGGCGCCGTCCTCAACAGAGTTGCAGCTGGCGGATCTGTGGCCGCCGCTGCTTTGGTTGTGGCATTGCTCGTTTAGATGGGGTCTTCGCGGCATGGTCTCGCGGAGTAGTGGTTAGGACTTGGATTAATAAGTAGTGTGAGCACATTGAGCAGCAGAGTTAGTTATCCTTTTCTTCGAAACTTGATCCTTTCATTGGCGGATGAACTTGAAAGATAGTCTTTGTAGGAAAGTTTTTGGCACCTCCGGGAATTGCGATTCTTTTTGTATTTCATTTTTTTTCCCTTAATTTCTTTCTATTGAATAAGATTGTAGTCCATGACGATTCTTTTCTCATATTTCTTTTACTTGATTCAGTACTATTGGTCGTAATTTATTTATAAAAAACAAATTAATAATTGCTCCAAAAATTGATTTTACGACATAAGAATTTATGACTTGAAAAAGATTGTTAAAGTGAAGACGGTTTTCTTTACTTTCCAGTCTGCACGTGTAAAAGTGTGGGTTAAGTTTCAAGAATAATTAGTATATATTTTATAATTAAATTAGTATAGATTTTAATTTATATTTGATTATTATATTTATTAATATTTTACATCTATTTGATTAATATTTATATATTTTTCTCTCATCACTTAATTATAAAATAAAAAATAAATTCTTTATAAAACCTATTCATATATATTTTTTATTTTTGTGTGTAGGAAATATTATAAAAGATATTGAAAGAAAAAGCAAAATCATATAAAGGAAAAAAAGTGCATTGAAGAGGCGTAGAAGGGAGCGCGATAATTATTTCAAATAATATTAAATTTAAAATGATATTATGATATTTTAAAAAGATTAGAAAATTATTAGTGGCAAAATATTACAAATAGGAGCTCATAGCCTTATTCAAAAACATCCAATCACTTATTTGAGTATTTTAAAAATGCTCTATGAAACATTTAGAGTTCAAATAAACATGCTAAATGTTAAAAGTAAGATCATTGATAAGTTCTGTATATTATAATTATTTTTCTTTTATTTCTTAATTTTCTTTATAATCATTTTTATAGTTAAAAATTTTAGAATGGTATTATTTAATTTTATTATATATTTTTAATTTATCTAGTTGGAATAAAAAAATAGCCCAATTGAAAAGCTAACTTTTTTTTTGTTTTAACTCTTTACTTTTATATTTATATATTTTGCCTATTCCAATTATATTTATTTCTCTTGTTCTTCATGTTGATTTTATGATTAGCCACCATTTAATTAAATCTATAGATAATTTTGATAGATTGGGAGGTGAAGAAAGAACTTAAATCTAAAAAAATAAACATAAATAAATATGTTAGAGATAGTTTTAAAAATTTGTGATAACTTAAACTATAACTTCATGATTTAATTAGTTATTTGGATATAGTAGGAATGAATTCAACAATAACTAAATAAAGATTAATAATTTGAGAGAATATTATGATATTTTAAAAATAATTATCACCATAATTAATTAAAAAGTTAACTCAACGGATAAAAACCAATAGTCTTTAAGGTAAATTCTAAACCTAACACTTCAAATGATTTTATTTTGCTTATCATTATTTTCTGCCTTTATTTTTATATCCTCAATATTCTAATCAAAAAATTTATTTTATTTATTTTTTAAACAATTAATTATTTAAATAAGTAAAAAAAAACTTCTTTATGAGTTCTCGACCTGTAATATTTTGAATAATTTATTAATGCAATCACGTACACTTGCGGAGCGATCAAAGGAACCTTTAGCATCGTGAAATGATTAATTGAGACAGCAACCACCATATCAAGCATAGTTTCTTTTTTAAAAAAAAATAATTTATTAAAATAAATGGGAACAGAGATGAGGATAAATACTACTAACAAAAATAAAATAAAATAAAAATACGCGGGCAAGTAAAAAAAAGAACATGGAAGCACTGCCTCTGTCCTGGCGATATGGACTAGGGGAATGTGTAGCCATGACTCATAGCAGGCGCGTCACACAGTATAAAACCCAAGAAGCGGTCATGATAGCAACAATGGGTGAAGAGCTAGCGGCTGAAGAAGAATGGGCCGTAGTGGATGGAGTGGTGGAGGAGGTGGTGGAGGAGGAGGAGGAGGGGGTGGTGGTGGTTGGGGTATCACCGGAAGGCGAGCCCTTACCGGAGGAAGGCGTTGCAGTAGGAGAGGAGGCTTTTCCGGCCTTAACATCAACGGCAAGCTTCATGCCACCACTGCAATGTCCAGGAATCGCACATATGAAGTAGTGAGATCCGGCGGTCTTAAGGGTAATGGTGGTGGCTCCACTGCTGTCGGAAGTAAGTGAATTACCAGTGGTGCAGGATTTGTAGTCACTCTCTTTAACTTCGTCTACTGTGTGCCCCGCTCCATAGTTGAACACTACGAGGTACATTACACGCCTTCAGAGTTGGAGTCTAAACACGATTTTTCATACAGACAGAAACAATGTTTAACACTTAACAACACAGAGCACAGTGTGTTGGTTCTTACCGAGAGAATCACCAACTTGAAAGGTTTTGCCACTAGCCCAGGTCCCATAATCAGCACCGATCATCCAGCCAGATGACTCTCCAACGGTGTAGACTTTGGCCAGCGCCGGCAGGGCCATGTTGATAGCTACGAATGCACATAGAATCAAGACGTTGGAGAGTGCCATTGTATGAGACAGAAGGGAAGAGGAGAGACTTCGGGAAAGTGTGGCAGAGTGGTTTTGCTTATATAACTGTGTTAGGGAGGGAGGGGGTGGAGTTGTTAGGGATTGGTCCACTTGGTCTTATCTTGCATGAAGATAGCTTGAGTTACACTTCACACCTAATGCGAGGAAAAAGGTGGGTCTTTTGCTTTTTCCAAATTTTAATTATAAAATAGTGGTTGAATGGAATCATTCCGTTGCAATCACGTTGTCGTTGACATCACCTACCTGTGTGCTCTCTATTGTGATTGATTGCGAATGAAGAAAAAAAATAACACACAGATTAACTACAGGTTAATTTTGTTGATATCTCAACTTTCTTAGGTTCATGGGAATCAACGGTCCTTGTTCAGAAACATTTGATGTTATGTTCGGATCATGCTTGTCCATCCCTAGGATAAGGACCCATCAATTTCACACACACAAACTACAAAAGGATGTGAAACTTCAGAAAACGAGTGTTTTCTTAAAGTCTACACATTCGCGGTCGCTAAATCTTTCTAGACTTGTTTGCATAAAGAATATATTTGCATGCATAGTTCTGTGTTATCTTTAATTCTTTATACCCGAACCAAAGGAAGTAGGTGAAAAGTACTGATCTTTTTAAAGTAAATGAGATGAAAACTGGGGTTTGCTTAAAATGCCGTATAAAATAAAAGGTTCGAGAATGAGGCAAACGTTGCAGGTAGATTAGTATGGAAAAACTTGAGATGGAAGCAAAAAGGAACAAGTCAAAGCGAAGAATTGGAGTTATGATGTGAGGACATGTTTATGAAGAGAAGAATGGGGACATAAGAAATCTTGATCTTAACCGCCTACCTAACAATATTGAGATGTAGGGTCCATTTTATGCCAAGTGTCCGGCTATTAGGCTGAGCTCTATCAAGTATCGATATGAAGAGGAGCGTGAGGCTGGCAGAAGGTGAAGCATTAAGGGAGAAAATATGACTCTCTTTTTTCTTTGGTGACAGGAGAACGTATGACTTTATCAGAGTAACCAAATAAACCAAGCAGATTCTCCCCCCCCCCCCCCCCACACACACACACACACACACACACACGCTCCTTCAATTTTTTTTATAAATCATTTCTATCAATTTTATCAATACTAATATAAAAAAATACAAAAAATAAAAATATTTAAAATATTAAATATACCCCCTATACCACAAATTTAAAAAAAATTATTTATCTCTCTTATGAAGGATAATTTTAAAAATACCTTTTAAATATTACCTAAAAAATTACATCATGACTTATAAATGAGACTAAATAAATCTTTTTAAAATGTGCTTTATAAATGAGACCAGACGAACACATATGAAATCCAATGTTATTGCCATACATACATATATATCTATCTGTGTGGAATCCAATGTTTTTGTATGAGTAAATCTTACAAAAAGCTGAAAGGTGAAATAGAGAAATTTGCTTCACCAAAATATTTTTTTTACATATACTTGAGTTTTTTTATAAAAAAAACTTTATAAACTTTAAACATTACAATCTTTTGAATGGCATATCAAGTTTTAATATGAAATCGTATTTTGCAAGATGAAATATTGCCGTTGATAGCATAGCAGTATCCTCACATATGATGGAGAAGTTCACGTGTAATGAGTCCAATAAAAGGGTATGCACAGTGCTATAAAATATTACTCTCTATATCCCAAATTAAAAAACATTTTAAAAAAGATTTAGTATTTTAAAATATAAGATACTTTGATAAAAATAAAATTTTATTAATGATATTTTTTTAATATTACATTTTTCATATATTCTCTCTCCAATATTCTTTAAAGTTTATATTTTTATTTTAAAAAAATAAAGTTGTAAAGTATATTTAATAACTTTATTAGCATGTAAAATTTTATCTAAAAATATCTTATAATTTGGATAGAAGGAGTACTATATATTACAGTATTCAAAGTTATTAGACAATTGGAGAATGACAATTAAGGACTCATGTGAAAGTTAAAGTTAGTAATGAGATCATGATTTGGCATGAACTACTTTTTTTAGGTCCTGAATCATTATTCTCCCACAGACAAATTCTCTGGATTATTATTTATTTTTTTGGCCAAACATTTCTCTGGATTATTAAAGCACCCATCAACAAAGAACGTTTACAGAAATTGCTTCCACAACAATATTCTGACAATTTTCGTCAATGGTGTGGTGCCACAGCATTGTAGATTCTATGGCGAATATAATTTCTTTCAAACTTCTTGCTACAAAATTATGGTACTTAAACTGATCACCAGAATCTATGAGCATATACTGTTCAAATACAAATGTCAAGAATATTAATATTCCGTAAAAAGAATGATCAACAACATTTTTACAAGAAATATACATCGATCAACTCTATCAGTAATCGGAAACATTATCAGATTTTTTACCCTGAAAAAACATTTAACCCCGTCAATGATACAAGTCACATCACTTCTTATGCATTCTAGAGTCAGGAGAGTTAGTCTGTAACGGTGACAAAGGTGTTCGCGCCGCATCTATATCCTCGAAATCAATCTTTCTCTCAATTGGGCTACTTGTCTTGGGACTAGACTTTCTCTTGTTTGACTGCAAAATCCAATAAATAGGCATAGAAAAAGAAATGAAATGAAACTGCAGCTGCAATGTAATATTGGCATTGCCATAGATGTGTATTTGCATGTTTTCCTTTAATCTAAAGTTTCTCACCTTGGCAGATGCACTGCCGCTATGTTTCCCACCAGAGCCAAGATGGTTCCTTTCCTTCAGCTTCAGTAGCCTTTTGTTCTCCTTGTTCAATATGTTATTTTCATCAGACAGTAATTTGACCTACGTATATCATAATTGTTCAGAAGTTAATCAAAAATTAAATAATGATAAAAAAAGAAAGGTTCACAACACGCTCAATAAATCTGCACCTCCTCCTCAGCTCTGTCGAGGTTAATTCGGAGATGCTCCTTATCTTTCTCAAGTGACTTCACTTCAGCAACAAGGAACAAAGCTCTCCGTGTTGATGGCTTTAGGCTGTCACCATGTAATATAAAATTATAAATATCAATTAACAGAGACTGGAATGATAAAAAGATGTTAGCTCCAACAATTATGCTACTGTTGTTTTGGTTGTATGACATTTAAACGTGTAACCTAAAATTGGCCAAATGAGAGCAACACCTAAAGAACGTGGGAACACAAGACCAGAGGATACGAGGGCGGCTACTCACCAGTTCCACATTGTTAACAATTTATTACAGGCTTCATTTCCACAGTTTGCTTCCAAGAACGTAAATGCAGAAGTGACATCTTTATTTGTAACCTTGGACAAAAGGGCGTCAAGTAAATTCTCTTCCACTGCCGTGCTATTAGAAGATGCACCATCCTTTAAGGAAAGAGCAAATATCTGTCAGGCAACATCCGCAGCCAAAGGAACCGGCACTTGCAATAATGATTACCAATTCACAATTGAAGTATTGTAATTACAAGAAAATAATACTAGCGTACTCCTGTATTAGGAGTTTACTTATAACGATAGCCGATGATTGTATGTCATCATTATGATGTGATGTGCCATCATGATAATTGATGACTCGTACAATTAGGAATAATTTAACAGAAGCCAAAAGTCAATAACGTGATTCTGGTATGAAGGTTAAACAATGCATCATAGCTATAATATGTGAGCACACAATAACGAATAAAAGCTCGATGATCAATGAGAAACCGAAATCAAAATTAAATTGTAGCATTAGTATTATAAAACACTAGATGCAGCAGTTTCCACTCATATGTCACCGCTTCAGGCATATATTAGCAACTCTCAACTCTGATGCCTCCATTGAAGGAAGCGAGTGACGAGAGAGCAAATTAATTAAATAGTGATTGAGATATGTCATTATAGCCCAGCATAGTTTGATGTGTTTGGAGTATGACCAGTGTGGAAGGAGCTTAATTTGGAGTCAGTTTAGCCGCTTATCTCTAACTTGTAGGAATGGTTAAAACTTAGAATTCATTTGCATGTATAAATATGTTTTGGTAATGAATTAAACGTGTGCAAGAAGATGAAGGCATTTTCCGCTCATTGTCTAGGATACTCCCATGGTTCCCCACCACCCACCACACACACAAACAGAGACATCCTTTTCTATCCTTTTCTCACATTGAAACAAAAAATAACTAAATTTGCTCATCCAAATTCTAGACCTCTAGTCTCTAATATGACATACAGTTTAAAAGGCAGATATCGAAGAGTGCACTTAGCTATCAGTCACGACATTCTTAGGAAAGCACATATTTTTCAAGTTGACAGAATGTTGATCTTCGTTAATAAATTGAAAGGGAAGGCGCGTATTTTAATGGACACAGCGGGGGATGGCTTAAGGAAATTGACGGTACCGATGGCATATTGTACTCATGCTTGTAGTACTGCAATTCTTCCAATAATTTTCCCAACTCCTCCTCCAACTGTTGTACTCGTAACTCTGCCTCCTTTGCCCGTTCATCGGCTTCGTTTCCAAATTCCATCAACGCTTCTCTGTCGCGATCGTAAAGCGAGCACTCTCTTTCCCATTTATGACATTGATTTAACAGATTTGCGCATTCGGAAGCCAATTTCTGATTCTCCTCAACGAACTTCTTCAGAGCTTGAGCGTTCAAAGTCGCTTCAGACTAATCAAAAAGAAAAATTAAAAAAGAAAAGAAAAATCTAACAATCGATTTTGAGAACCGATAATGACGAAAACCAAAAAAAATTGATGAGGAAAATGGAAAAGCAGACCTTAACGCGGTCAATCATTTGATCTTTCTCCTTTAATTTGGAGAGTAGAGAAAGGCGCTGCTGGCGTAGCAGCCGTTGAGACTCTTCGGAGGCTCGAAGTTTCGATTCTAAAGCGTGCAACGAAACCGGAAGACCCAAGGACTCGTCAATGGATTCTTTGAGATAAAGATCAATATCTCGAGGAAGATCCATGTGGATGTTCGAGACAGAAGCGCTTGAACAATCTGAAGAATTTCAAGGGTTTTGACAAGTGATGAATACACGATTGCTTTCAGGGCTGGGTTCAGAGTAAAGCCGAATGTATGATTCAGATTACAAGATTGAGAATTCTAAAATTTGGAGGCAACACTCCCTACTGGAAATAAAAATCAAAACCACAAAAAAAAATGATAATAATAAAAGGGAGGGCTTTAATTGTTAGCAGGAAGACACAAGACTCGAGAGCCTTGCTTGTCTCTCTCAGGGATTGGATTCAAATTGGAAGGGCTAACCGTTGGAAGGAGATTTTAAATGCCAAGTAGCGGAGCACATAATGAGCTGACATGGAAACATTTTCAATTTCTTCTTGTTTTTAAGTCAAACCTTAAAATAAATAAATAAATAAAAAAACTTTTGCAGTACCATTACCTTGAATTTTCGAATTTTTTTGTTTTCGAAATTTCAAACCGAAAAAGCCTTGCGACTTTGAGGGCTAGGCCTGCAAGGCCCAAAGGGCACAAGGCTTCAAATCAATATACCAGCCCATCCAGGAATTTTATCTTTTTAAATTTTTGTAAATTGGAAGAAAAAGACACAAAATATGTGAAACTCAATCAAAAATTTAATACTATATTTTATGGGTTTGGATGATCCCCTCTCATCTTTCCACTGGTTTTTACTTAAACTCATCTTATAGAGTAATTTGTTATAGTTGTTATTCGTTCCAAACCATACATTAGCAATTTCTTTACGTCAGCAGGGATACGTAAGTTTAATTGAACAAGCAAGTGTTGCGGTTGGCGAGGAGGATGGAGACAATAACAAGTGATCTCGATTAATATTACATGCATACATACATACATATATATATATCAACTTCAACTACCATAATCAATCAACTAACATATATAAATTTCATGAATTTTCAATTTGATTATATTGGTCAATTTTTCTTTACTCTGCTTGGTAGATGCATTTTAGATAAATTTTAATTCTACTCTCTCGTTGGCTAGGCCACTATAATATAAGGTTAATTCTATTATGTGATTGATTTATTTCATTGACTAACACACATAACTAAACTCTTTTTATTATTTTTTTAACAAGTATTCATTTAATTTTGACAATTTATTCATGATTAACAACAATTCATTAGGATGTTTAACAAATAAAATGAGTGAAATTTTAAAATTTTTAATTTGTAATTGTTTGTGTGAGATTAACAAGTGACATTTAAAAATAACAAGTTCAAAAATTAACAACACACGTTTGGTTATTATATGAAAATAATTTTGTGCTAAGTTTACTACTTATAATTTTTTGCCATATATATGGTAAAAGGCTTGGTAGCCATTGGGCCACCAAATTTTAAGTAGCCAAAGGTTACGGGATTAAACTCACCCTTAGTTACTTAAAAATTTATTTTATTAAATAAAGTGTTGCTGGAGCTTCGGTGACCTTGCCAACAGTAGGGGTTCTAGCGACCTCACTGTCAACAGAGGTCCAACGGCAACGATGATGAGAGTTTCTCTTTCTTTTTTGTTTTTTTAATTATGAGGTTATTTTAATATTTTTGCCTATGAAATTAATATATCAAAAAGACTAAAGAGCTATAGTGATATTATCAAATTATTTGGTTCTTTTAAAATATAAATATTATACAGTGATCCTTGAATTCTATTTTTTCAATAATAAACCTCAATTTTCTTGAATATTAATTAATGATGACGTCCAAATATTACCTTTCTCAGTACCAAAAATTGCATATGCATGCTTAGTGAATAAGAATTAGCTCGTACTCCATCACGTGGTGGAGATTTTTTCGAAAATATTCGCATCTCAATGATATATATATAACAAATAATAAAAGTTACTTCTGTTCAAACATATAAAGTATTTTTTAAAAAGTTAAATATTAAAAAAGATAAAATATTTTTAATCTTTTGAGGTGTAATTATTATTTTTTTTTTAAATATCTCTATTGATAAATGACTTTATATTTATTATAGAATTTTTAATAAAAATAAATATGAAAAGATAGAGTTAGTTTAAATATAAGTAACTACTTTATTGAGGGTGAAATTTAATTTAAAATATTATATATTTTTTCAATAAAGAGAATATAAAAGCAGGTAACTATTCTTGCACATGTGTGATCAAGTACGTTGCAGGGATCCCATTAGTTGGTACAAAAGTCATAAAAGAAGATGTTTCCTGGAATTATATTCAGCTACAAGGCTTCACAAAAATCAAAATGTGAATATGAATTCACTTCCATAAAAAATATTTAGTCCCAGACACGTTTCCTGCAATATTTTACACAACAAATATGAATGAATGGGGATGATATTGGCCACTTCTTTACTTCTGATCTTCGGCCTCTTCACTCACGACGGTCTTCTCTTGAGCGTCTGCATCGACGAACGAGTCCACCTCCTTTACCATTTCCTCGACCTACAACAATTTCATCTAGCTACTTGAATTACTAATATTATTAATAATAGTTGACGCTTGGAATTATATATTAAAAAGCCAGGCGGGATTGACACGACCCAGAGGTTTATTGGCTGCAACGAGTTGCAATTTATAATAAAGATAAACAGTAAACAAAGGGTTGGGTGAGGCTGGCCATGATAAAGAAATCAAACAAATTAGAGGGTCGTTGGCAGTGAGATAAGCAAGAATATTGTAAGAAGTGAAAAACCTTGTCTAAGACGTCTCCTGCTAGATGGGCGTCTTTATCTATTTGTTCAGCCAAGTTTTCAATCAACTCAGCAACGTCTTGAAGTTTGCCCTCGGGAAGATGCTCGGCAGCCGCTTCCGCCACCTCCTCCACCTTCTCTGCCACTTCTTCCACAACGTCTGAAATTTTTTCCATTTCCTCTAACGTTGTTTCAACTTTCTCTGCACGTGATGATTCATTGAACGGCTAATGTAAATTAAACAAACATGCATATGATGATCTCCAACGCATATACAGAATGGGTGTTGTTTGTTCTATACTCTGATTCTACCTTTCAGTTTCAGCAACGGTCCCCATTTTCCCTTGGAAAATGATAGAAGTACCGTCACAATTGTTCCAAGAATCCACACTTTCCTGCTTCAGAACCGAGCTCTTTAGGGTTTACGAATTTCAGATTCAGATTAATAACGAAAAGGTTGAGTAAAATCGGGGAGGGAGAGACTTACCAGTCGCCACCAGCTGGAAAGGGAGCTCCTGGAGGCACACCGGCGTGGATTGCCACGTTCTTCCTGCATAATTAAAGGGTGGAGTTATATATATATATATATATATGTAGATAGATAAGCTTTGAAGAAGCTAGCTAGCACGTCAATCAAATAACGAAGCAAGATAACGAACATATTTCTTCTGATCTGGAATTGAAATCCAGCGTTGAAGCCTCGCAGTCCCGACAACTTGTATTTTGTAATAAAGAAGGAGCGATCATATCTGAGTTGTGACCTGATTCTGGGACCAGCTTTTGAAGCCGGACATCTGGAAAAAGTGCCTGTGACGGCGCAAGTCGATTGTGGAAGGACGATTGTCATGGCCATGGAAAAGTGAATCTAAATCTGGAGATCTTGTGATTATATATAAATTAAGGATTTAGGAAGGTGTGCGGAAGAGTAGATAGAAGGACAACGTACGTTGGACGAGGATGACCTTTATTTTGGTTATATATATTAGTAATATATAATAACGGTCAACAACTCAACAAGTTGCACCAAGTCTCTCTATGTACTAAATCTTACTAGAATTTTCAACTTGCTCTAGATCTATTTCCTTCGCACGTTTTCCCATGCTTCTATTTTAAGAGAAAGCCGTTAAGTTGAAACCCACGTTGAATTATCAATTTCACATGACTTGCAACAACTTGCTACTTTTTTATGAAATCTCCTTTCGATTAAAGAACAACGTGCAGAAGTTGAATATACTCATAACGCCAATTTTCAACACGCCACTCAAATTAATTTCCATTTGTTTATCGTGGTGTATTGTAATTTTGTGGTCAGGTTGCAGCTAATTGCTTTATGAGGGGAATAATTGGAGGGAAATTCTTTTGTCTAATGAAAAAAAAAAAAAATTGCGTGAATGGCATTCCAATCTGATCTGGTAGAACGCCAGACTGGGGAAGATTCTTTTTCCTTCCCATTATCTTCTATTCTTTTCCTCTCTTTTTTAATTATTAGATCAAGATTTGAACAATTCAGATTTGATGTGTTATAAAATTATGATTAAAATGTTAAATGATAAGAAAAGGTAAATAATAAAATTAAAAATGCTAATATTCCATTTGAATGGTTAAAATTTAATTGAAAGCCAAATAAAAAAATATATTTTATAAAAAAATTAAATTTAAACCGTTCAAAATATTAAATTTAATAGTTACAAAAGGAAGAAGAGAGAAAAACGATGGAAATGGAACAGGAGAAAATCAAACCAGGGATATTCATTTATTTTGTTTTTTTTTTATTGGTTTCCTAAGGCTGGTGTCCCCACAGTTGGTAGTCATGAGAATTTTTTTGTTAACCTGGAGCATGATTTCATTAGATAGAAACAAAATACAAACACCAAAGCCAATAAAAGAAAATCAAACTAGGACAAGATCGACAAAGAATCCCAAAGAAACACAGCTCCTAAACCAAACAAATAGTTGACGCCAAACCTTGCAAATCGGAGGATAGACAAAGCTCTTGTCTAATTTGATCATAAGAGGTGGCAAGTAGAAGTTGGTTGTCCGCGGGCATGCTAAGTCGAGCCCAACTTATTTGACACAGATGCTGCACAACAAATTGCAGCTCAAAGAATCCCTCTAAAAATAGAGGAAAGGGAGACCTAAAAGTTAAAAATAACTTCCAAAACAAGATGATCACAGTAGAGTTAAGCCAGTTCAAGCCATAGACAAAAATGATCCACAAGTATAGGTAGAAATAGAGACAGAAAGACACACAAAGAGCATAATACAGAAATAAAACAAACAACAAAATCCTAAATAAAGCAAAAGGGGGCAACTAACAGAAGAAAAGCTCAACCAGAGAGCCTTATCGCGCCTGGCCGTAGCAAGACAAAGACCTCATGACCTTTGGGGGCTGCAAGACAGCCATCAACCTTCACAAAAAACACTGTCGTCAAACCTTCTTGCCGTAGATTCACATCATCCATAATGTTCACTTCCCCTTACCTATCTCTACTCTCTGTGGAAGCCTTCCCTCAATATCCATGATCGACAGAATATGATCCCACTTCCTAGCCCCTTTCTTCACCATTGCTATAACGTTTAGGTCTTTTGGCTAGAACCAGCAACAATCCCCTGTTTTTCCTTCATTAAAAATCCATCTGCTCTTGCTCAGCAATAATTGAAGAGACGACCCACTAAAAACATTTGCCGCTATTACCAAATCCTAGCCGCAACCAAGGAAAGAACCATCCAAATGATGGCGGAGAAACTCTCCCGTATGGAGAGAAAAAGCTCACCCTAAAAGTGAGAGATTTTCAAACCTCGATACTAGATATTCAAACCTTGACAATTATGAGACTAATCCATTAAAAAATTTAAATGTCATTTAAAGAGTTATTATCTCCCAAGAGTTGCTCTCCATAAACATCTTCAATAATCAAACTTTAAAATTGTCTTCAAGGGACGCAAAGTATTATCATTTGTGCCACACTTATTTGGTATATTTAGTTTGGTTTTGATCGCCTATTTAATAGTAATGGGTTGTTTTAGGCCTCGTTCCAGAGAACAAAATTTGGGCTTTGTAGGCCTCCTCATTTTTATCTGTCAGCAAGCAATTGTCAATGAAAAATTTTACCCCAAAAAAAAAGGGTTAGTGAAAACAGGGAGGCCCATAAGGCCGAACTGAGTGACGCATCGATGTTTCGTTTCATTTGTTTTCGTGGCCTTACCCATTGAAAGTTAAATCCACAAAACCCGTGCAATAACCCCAATAACAAACAAAATGCTCATTGATTTAGGACCATGAGTATTTATTATTGGGTTTATGTAATTGCCACGTGGCAGTCCATCGTTATGTAGAGCGTCAATTAATTGAGCCGTGAGAGTATTTGTGAATGCACCAAACTTTAAGACAAGACATCTAGTCGTCTTGATAAAGACTTGATACCCCAATTCTCTTTCTCCGCCTATTTTCCTTCCATTTATAATAAACTATTGGACCCTTGGGATTATTTAAAAAAAAAAAACTGAGAATCAACCAGCATTAATGCACAGGGGCAGCAGACAATAAAAGAAACTTCAAATATATGTCATGTTTCAATTGAATAATTTGCCGAGAATTTGAACAATGCAAGGAAAATTACACCAATGAAACTGACATTTGAACTAACTACAATTGATTACTTCATGTTAAACAAACCGACCCAAAAAAACTAGAGAGGCACAAAACTTGTTCAACTTGTTATCAATTCAATACCACCAAACACATCCAATCCAAGTCCACTAAACTTTTGAAAGGGACGACGAAACAGACCAAAAAAAAAGAAATTCTCCTTCAAACAAAACCGGTCTCTTTTAACTCTCATTCTGTGGGTAAATTTCTTCTTGAACCGTCAATGGCGAGGATACGCAGGAAACTCTTCCCGGCACTGTCTGATATAAACCAAACCCAAGATTGTCCTGAATTTTGCGACCCAGCTTGCCCTTATAGCTGCTATTCTTTCCCAGACTACTACTTCCCACCACCTCCACCTCCTCCACCTCCTTTTTCGGCCACTGATCATTCCAGTTCAGGTACTCACATCTCCTCCAATTTCATCATTCTTGCTTCTCTGTTCACTGTCATTTTTATTCTCCTGGGTTTGTACGTGATCAAAGCCAAGTGCTTTGCTAATTGGTGTGGCCGGAGAGACAATGGATCCCAGTCAGAGGTCTCAGACCAAGAGTTTCTTGATGAGAACCATGTTGATCACCCTGTCTGGTTTATCACCAGTGCTGGTCTGCAACAGTCGATTATAAATTCTATCACGGTTTGTAAGTATAGAAGAGGTGATGGGTTGATCGAAGGAACCGAGTGTTCAGTGTGTTTGAACGAGTTTCGCGAAGGTGAAACCTTGCGACTCTTGCCTAAGTGCAGCCACGCCTTTCACATCCCCTGTATTGACACTTGGTTGCGTTCGCATACTAATTGTCCTCTCTGTCGTGCTGGGATCGTCTCGAACAATGTCAGACCTGAGGCTGCCGTGTCGAATTGGGCTTCAACGGAGCTAAACTCTGAAAATTCACAAAGGAACCAAGAGATTCAAGCTGAGAATCCGCCAAATGATGGTGAATTAAACGACAATATGATGGTAGTTGTAAATGGGGCACCTGGAAACAGAGCTGGAACTGTGGAAACCCAAGACTTGAACGATAATTTGGTTTCAAAGGAGCACGCAAATGTTGCACGCAACGGTCCAAAAGACGATCATGGGGTTTTAAATGAAGGCAATCGAATTGAGATAAGGTCTATGTCCATGGATTATAGGCCGGCAAATTCTTCTAGTTGGGAGCCTGAAGAAAACCATGCAGGGCTTGAAGAAATTCGGCGTTCCTCTGTTACAAAATGTCTACACCTGAGCCCTATTCCTATGAAGAGGTCGTTCTCTTGCAGCGGAAGGATTCTATCTGCCAGAGATCACAGGAATCTACATATAAGTCTTTCTTATTAGAATTTATCATCATGATGTGTATATATTCTCATGTTCATGCTCTTTGAATTTCGGGGGTGCATAAATTTGTTTATACAGAAGGCATAAAAGGAGAAATTGTGGGTGAGACAAGGAGATCAATTTTAATCGAGCTCTGCTTCCCAAGGGAAGAAAATATCGTGCTAGTTTGAAGTTTTATCAATTTAGAGGCAGACTGCAAAAGAATAACCCTGCTGCACCAGGTGCAGAGGTAGAAGTGCCGAAGGGGTTTGATTTTGATCCCAGAACGAGGAATCAAACAGTTTTATTTTCATGAGGATTTGCGTTGTGTAATTCTGAATGAGGCCTTGATTTTTTTTTTTTTATAATGTGGATTTTGATGGGAGGAAGACTTGTGATGCTCCTCTAGCTTGACAAAAAATACTTTAGTTGAGTGGGAGGAGAATTTTTAGAGAGCAGTGAGGAACTAAATCAAAGCAAAAGAAGATAAAATCTTGGGAAGGAGATGAGGGCGAGGGAGAGTCCGCGTAATATAAAATGGGGAAAGCAACATAATCATATTAAAAGGAAAGATGATGATTGCTTGCAAGAGTGGCATTAGTTATCATGTTAGTCACCAGATCTACCAATTTTAGGTGAAACTTCCATAATGGCTACTCACTCTCCCTATCCCTAACGCCACGCCCTCGCCTATGTGGCATCTTAGGGAATCAGTCACTCAACTCATCTATGGACATTATGGGATTCATGTGTCAGAATGCTGTAGTTAAGAGTTTAGACCCTAAACTAGGGTCATCTCTTCATGCATTGAGTATTGAGGGTCATTCATTTGTTTCTCCATCCATTCCTTTCCGAGTTGTTCATTGGTGGTTTTTTGACAACACGCAACAACAGTATTAGCAATAACAGGTAAAACTGTTTTTCTGGTTGCATTATTTTTTAAAAACATTTTTCCTTTTCCCTCCTATCTTGGCCATGACATTGAAAACAAGCCTTCTCAATTCATCGCCATATGGCACTGTTTGGAGAGACACGTGTCAATAACCAACATATGAAATTTTGATACTGTTTTATAAGGCCTGATTCATTTGTTACAGGGAGAATCACACTTAGGCTGCCACTTTTTTTAAAAAAAATAAATAGTAATTATCAACTCAAACAATTTTAAATTCAACAGTCTTAATTATAAATAAAACATTTAAGTTTAAAAAACAATGTTCATCTTGTAATTGAGATTTTATTTACAATGATTTGAATTAGTATTTGCGGCTCATTAAAAAAAATTAGAAACTTAACTATTTACTTCCTCGTTAAAAAACATAAGGTATTTTTAATCGAATCTCACCTCCAATAAAGCAATTAGCTATTTTCAAACTAATCCTATATTTTTATACTTACCCCTGTTAAACACCATACAAAAAATATAAAGTTATTAACAATAAGGGTGTTTTTCAAAAAAAGGTAACGATTACATATCGAAAGATTAAAAATACCTTATATTTTTTAACATCCAACTCCTTAAAAAATATCTTACATTTTTTGAATGGAGAGAATATTAATTTAATATTTTGATATTTAAATATTATTTCCCTCCATTAAACTACAACCAAATATAAGGGCTCATGGTTAGTGTAAAAAATGGTTTTTTTTTACATGTACGGTTTTATTTTTATTGTGTTATGGAGGACTCAATCCTATATTTAGGAGTTGAGATTCACTGGTCTATTATCGCAAACTATGGGCCGAAAAGGAGAAGGGTTTGCTTTCACGTGGCTCAAAAATTAAAATTCTATAAGCTGAATTGACCAAAAACTTCATACTTTTCTAATCTTGCATATTAATCATATTTTATAAGGATAATTTAATTTATTTTACAAATCACTAACTAATAAAATTATCTTATTTTAAATTAAAATTTTTAAACTATTTTTAAAAAGTAATAGAAAGAATAATAAAAAATAATATTATATTATTTATTTATTTTTTATTTTTTATTTGAGGGTTATATTTAAAATTTCAATTACTTTTATCTCTTGTATTTTTATTGTATTAATATTAATAAAATTAATAAAAATAATTTATAAATAAAATCAGAATGGAGATCGATGTAAGCTGAAAATGCTACCCTTTTTAACCACCAAAATGCAACTCTCTCCCCGGTTTTCAACTTAATTTACACATGCAGCCCATAACTACTCCCTGGATTCGATGGAAACAGACTGGGCGTATATTTCATCAATAAATATCAGCGCAGAACATTCCGTTGTGAAACTTGTTTACTTTGAGTCACTTCAAGTAGGAGGGGGGCAAAATGAAGTGGGGAATATCGTACTCTTTTTCCTGCCCCTGATTCTGTTTTTCAAAATTCCCAATGATTTCGAATCCCCATCATTTCGCTTGCGGAACTCCTTCCAAGTTACCTACAAATCTGTACTATCCACGTTCAAGAATCTCCCTCCCGGCTTTTCCCTTTTCCCGGCCTGGTCCCTCTCTTATCAAATCTCTATCTATCACTGCCCCATACCAGACCCAACTTTTCCAATTCCCATGATGCCCAATTTTCCTTCCGGTGTTAAATCACATAACTTATCTCACACCAGAAAGTGTCGTTTCCTGTTTAAATCTTGCGCAGAAAGTTTAATCTGCGGTGTGAAAGGAAGGAAAATAGTAGGCCTTAAAACGGATATTTAATTTAAGAATGGACAGACAAAATTCATCGGTGCTTAACTCTGTTGGAAAAGTTCTGATAAGAGAGGTCGACACTTGGAAAGTTTGCCAAGGCAAGCTAGGCGCACCTTTATAGCTCTTTCCTTTTTCCCTAAAGTGACAACAAAATCTAATGGAAATTTCTTGACTCGGATGTGAAAGCTTATTAAATTGCCCACAAAACATCACCTGTGGGTGAATCATGTACGCCGAACATGAGTGCCAGATATCATCTACCAATGCTGGATCTATATTTTAATCAAGATACGATCCTTATTTCAGTTCCAACCGTGATTTAGTTTGTCTTTTACGACGTTCTCTGCGCCTCATATTGGAGGATGAGAATTTTATTATTGTTGGGTTTCTTTTTTACGAAATAATTTCTTTTGTTATCATAAAGAAGCTCGACCTGTTTGAAGGTCGAGCCCTCCATGAGATTATATAGCCGACATGACATTTTCCCCACTCGGTAACAAATGGAAAAGAGACGGAAAAGGGTGGCCAAAGGTAGAAACCAAAAAAGGATTTGGATTCTTCGTTGACCACAGAGTCTTGAGCATTTATGTGGCGCAAGCAATCCTGCGCCAATTGAACTTATAATCTGGATGGTACGAAAAAACAGGGCAATGATCATAACGTTGAAACTCGGGCAAGGTCTAGTATGTTACTTTCGCTGCTTCTACAGGACACACGATCAAATGAAAAGACCATGGTTCTGTACCAATATTCCAAGTACACAGAACCTCCAAAACCTTCTTTTTATTCTCACAAGTCCAAACCGGATCATCATTACATTGAGCGATTGTGAAGCGGGCAGAGAGATAAAAGGGTGTTGAAGAATATTCACACGTGAAAGACAACAAGGAAGGTGATAGGTATCCATAATTAAATATCAAATACTTTCAAGAACTGAATCGCCAAGAAAGGTGCGTGTTGCTGTCAACTATTTGTGATGATTCCGGTGCTTATTCAAAAACTTGAAACACGATGTGGTGCTCAATATCCTGTCTCCTTGCTTCTCTTCCTTTAAAAGTTAAAAGCATTGAACTTGTTGCGTCTTCCAGAAAGGAGCCAAGCCTATTGTTACCCACGTTAAAGCTACTTTTGATAGTGGTTCGGCTGCAATGATTGAGGGATCAACTAGTTTAATTTTACCCAACATGTTATACGTGCAATCCTTACCACATAATATAAAACCTATAGCAAAAAGATATTGATCTAATCGGTAAATATTTGGTTTATAACATATAAGAACGTAGCTTCAAATTAAATCATGTTGATATAAGGATACTGTTAATAAATAATTTATAAATAATTCCATGAGCGCACTTTTTAAATTTAAAAATATATCTTAATCTTGACTAGCTTTTAGTTCTAATTCATCTAAACTTTCATGATATAAAAAAATATGAAATCTTCAACAAAATTATTAATAAGTTATAAATTATGTGATTCAAATAAAACTTAATGTATGACCGGACACCAAATAGAAATGGGCACACATCTAAAATTATAAATCTAGGTGTATTATTCATTTTTCCTGAATCAATAAATTGATTTTCTAAGACTATTTGATGGCAAAAAGCTACGTCTGATTAATCGTCGCTGCATGCGAAGCTTCGTTGTCACGTCCATAAAAAGCTCGAGTGAATGAGACGAGTATCATATCTTACAAAGCTCAAAGCTATGTGCTCTATGTCCGCTCAAGAATAATAAAAAAAAAAAACAGAGTTTGTGAGTTTAATAGAGTCGGTAAATTCTATCACAGCTAAGTTCTTAACAACTATTGTGAGTTTAATTGGTTTTAATTTGTTCGTAGCTGCGATTAATGTTTGATATAACAATTAAAATTCCTTGAAGGCTCCCCATGCTAGTTCACGTGTCTTCTCTCTCTCGCTAATTCATGGAAGCTCGACCCAACAAGACAGAGAGACAATACTAAGCACTACTCATGGTACTTTATTAACAGGAAACATGAAATTCTTCGAGACATGTGACGCTGTTGGATGTACATGCCTAGAGTGAAATAAGACTAGATGGGCCACGCCCTGAACAAGCTACTCATTTTCTAACTATCCTACTTGAGTTCTGCACAATTTTTTTGTTCTTATTAGGAGTTCCGTTCAGCCAAAACCAGAGCAATTATAAACTCTTCCAATACAATACAGACATTCAGACTAAACTAAAAGGTATAATAATTTAAACATTACTACAACCGAAGTCCGAAAAGCATTCTCTCAAATTTCAACAGAAAGCAGCTTCTTCTTGAATCCTGCGCATTAGTTGATTCACAACGGCTGCAATTTCATCTACTGTGTTCAACTGACTCTCATCCTCAACCTGTTCCAATCATTTCATTCGCAAATCCAATGAATACTAACATTGATCTTAGTACAAGGAAGAAATTAGGAAAAGAAGGGAATCAACCTTTACGCTAACGGAGTACAGAACCGTATCGTCGAGAGTTGTGGTGACGTTAAGGTGAAGAACGCAGAGTCTGAGACTCTGAAGCCCAACAACCATCTTCACGAGCTGGCCCTGCCGTTTCTTGGAGAGTATCTTGAGGTTGGCGTGGCTGTCCACCAAGCTCACTTCTATATCGGCGGCCCCGGCCTCCTTCTGGTTTTGTCCCATCACGACGTCGTTCGGGGCCGTACAGCCGGTGATGCTCTGAGTTGCAGGTGTCGTGTACTGTGGGAACGTGAAGAACTCGGGAAAGGGGCTTTGTTCAGTGCGTGGCTTTCTCTTAGTCTGGCCCTGCATCGACTGTAGATGTTGTTCCAGCTCCTTGACGAAGTTAATGGCGCCTCCAATTATAGAGGCCTGGTCACCCTGTTTTTGTGACACGACGCATGAGATAAAGTAATGAATTTGGATACGGATCAAAGAAGGAAATGAAGCCAAGTGTGAATTGTACCGACCCTTTGGACATAAGAAGGAGGCATCAAGGATCGGAGCACGGCCAAGTACTCATTCATCTGCTTGCGGCGATTTCGCTCCACGGCAATGTGGGTCATCCTCTGGCTCTCGATTTCCTCCTGGTTCTTGGCGGTCTTGGTGCGGCGTCGTTTTCGGCGTCCTGTGGAAGCCGCAGGAGACAGAGATTCTCGAGGAGACGAGTTAGAGCTGTCCCATGAATCCTTCACGTCTCGCAACACCGAAGAGTAATCCCAATTCGCATTGCCTGTGATCCCAACAAAACGTTGCTGATGTTCTGCTTCTAAGCCATGGCCAAGTCCAAACATATAGCTATAGTTGAATGCATCTTGTGGGAAAACCACAGCCTCAAGTGCCATTGGCCGTTTGGACGAAGCAGAAAGAGAGTAAGGAAGATTGATTGTTATGAGACGAGGGGAAGGAAAACGAAGAAAGACGATGGGGGCAGAAGCACAAAAGAGACCAAACAAAGAGGCCCTTTTATGCTGCTGCCCCTAAGGCTATTAGAGCTTTCATTTTTCAAAAATGATAATTCGAGCGAACTAAATCTACAGCTCCTCGCACGTGACCCCAGATTTTTTATTTCGGATTTCATTGTGGCTCCCTCCCTTGACCAGTGACCCCTCTAACTCACCAGGCACAATCACACCTTCTTCTCTCATTATTTCACTTGCCCACTTGTTCATTCCTTTGTTTCCCATCCCTTCTACACGCTTCCTTTCTTTTCTTTTGACTGCGATCTCTTATAACTCCTTTCCCCTAGTTTTGGCCCATTGGCAATTACATCATCAAAATCAAACGCAATGACCATTAAAGCCGATAATATTTTACGTAGTCAACCATTAGGTTACATGGGCTCAATCATTCAGCTTCATTCTGCCATTTCCCATCACGGCTCATATCCGAAACCCGGCTATTAATCACAGGCACATATAGTAGATGAATTCTTCAGCTTCCAAAAGTGGCATCTTTTGTCCATTTCAGTGTGAAACTTACAAAACGGTTGGTTCGCGAGGATGGGACCGAAAGGTTAAGTAATCCAACTACACGGTTCATCAGATTAATTCCTGTTTTCGGAAAGGGGGCAGAGTCTCCCTCGTGAGGACAGTTAAACTTCCAACAATGTGGTCCTCCATCGGTGTGATGTGCTCCGTTTCAACGTTAAAGCTTCTAATAATTGCGTTTCATGTATTATTTTATCACGCAATAATATTATATTAATTCGAACGTGGGGTCAACCGTGGCTTTATAATATTTGGTGATAATGTGGTCTTGGACATGGAAAGGAGAAAGGTGAGGAAAAGCTGGTGATTACACCGCGTCCAGCCAAAGCAAGATCGATCAGAGAGTCCGTAAAGAAGAACAACGACGAAGCAGCTTAGTTGGAGCGTCGAGACAAAGCTCAGGATTCAGAGGAATCCGTGTGACCGCTCAAAGGACCACTCTGTAATCATCTACCACATGAACCGAGAACACTGTGCCTTCCTCTTACTTCGTCCCCTTCCCGAGGTCCCTGGGCTACGCTCTTTTGATCCTCGTTATTTACGATTAAACAATGCTAGTCCATATTTATTTTTTAACCTTTCGTGCGCCAAATCAATTTAACTTTACCCGATGCCAGACCGGTTTCACGAGCTTTGCTAATTAACCATTTGACCCCATCTCGATACGACATTCCCTAGAGGTTTTCTTCCCTCATTTTTCGGGTCTCGTACGGAATATTACTAATACCATAACATTTGTTTATTGATTTTTATTATTCTGACCAGTTTTTGAGTTACGTTACTCCCTCCTATTAAGTTTAGTTATTGATTAATAGTAACGTTTCCACTGCTAGTCTTTGATGTCCGTGTTGAAATATGATTAGAATACGGAGGAAAATCCAAACCCAGCTGGCACTCCTTTGAATGTATCAGACAAATAATTGTAGATCATGAGATGCGATGGTTCAAATCTTAACAACAAGGCAACTTGGCTGATTAGATTTTGTTATTAGCTCTCAAATTATCATTATTCATGTTACTAATTAACTAAACATATAAAATGTTTTCCGGGGAAGGGAATAAAAATCAAATGAAAACCGATATAATATGGTAGTAAATTGTTTGGTTTCCATTTTAAATATGGATCTTTATCAAAAACTCTCATTTCCGGTGTCTCACAAAAAAGTGGTTTCAAAATTTTCTCAAAAAAATTAAAAAACTGAACACAAATGTTAAAAGCAAGCAGGCTCGTTAATTACCGTGTTTTTTGAAATAATAATTTCATCTCTATTCTATTTATTATGTTTAATTACCTCGTTCCCCACCCATCTTGGAACGAGCTATAACAATGCATTCTTATTTCTTCTTAATTGTGCAAGATGCGTGGATAATATTCATTAGCTATATTAAAGTACAAGTTGCCAGGCTCCTTAAACTTCGTATATTAAAATTAGCTCAGCAATATGTTGTTAATTAACATCATGTCGCCCCTCGCCAGGCGAACGGTTCACACAGAGTTCTGTCTCGCTCCTTGCTTTGTTGGAGACAACACGTATACTATGGTTAAAGGAATCATTGTGTCTTCGAGTTGTTGTTTTTTTTTTTTTTTTTGTTTGAGGATGAAAATGATTATTCAATCTGACAAGGATGAAATGGCAATGATGAGTGAAAAGAAAATAGTTGACGTTTTTGTGCTTAGCTTTTAAAACTAGTGCTGTGGGAAATGACCCGATTTCACGTTTCCGGACTTGAAAAATCTTTTCATACACTACTACTAAAAAATATAAATTAACGAAAAAATTTAATAAAAAATTATCTATTTAAAAAATTAGTGAAAAAATTAATAAGAAATGTTAATTTTATAACTTGGCTTAAAATTAGTGAAAAAAATAATGAAAAACTATAAATCCCTCTATAAAATAAAAGAATTAATAAGAAAAATAGTAAAAAACTATCATAAGGACTGTCAATTTTTCTTTAAAATAAAATAATTAGTGAGGGATTTAGCGAGAGATTCTGTCCCTAACTAATTACTACAAAAAAAAATTAACTTTTGACAATGACTTTTAATTATATATTTAATTATTTTTATTTAAAAATAAAAATTAACTGAAATATTTGTAATAAAATTATTTAATATTTTTTATTTCAAGATGATTTTTATTAATAAAATAATATTTATTAAAAATATAATATAAATAATAATTTAAATAAAATATAAATATTTTTAACATATTAATAATTGAAAATAAAACTTAATATGTATATATGTGGGTAGTTTTATGATATATTATTTGATATATTTATGTAGTTAAATAATATATATTTAATTTTAATATAATAATTGTAGGTGTCTTTCAATTCAACTGACAAAGAAGGAGAGCATAAGACTTGAAAGGTATAAAGTTAAAGGTTCAAGTCTTGATTTTGACATAAACATAATGAATATATGATATAGTGAGGAGCAAGTGACATAGCGCAAGGTAGATAATGACATGTCATGAGTTGTCATACATGTGACGGGTGATGGGATATGAGATGGTAGATGACATAGCGGTTGACAAGGTAAGAGGTTGTTTGTGACATGTCACAAATTGATGGACATATAAAGGTTAATGTGACATCATTATTTTTAAATATAGACATATTTAGTGAGAGACTAATAAGGGACAAGCAAGGGATTCAATTCCTAGCTAATTTCAATGAAGAACTGAATCCCTCATCGATTAGTGAGGGAAATACGATTCCTCACTAAATTTAAGGAGCCTTTTTTTAACTACAAATTTAACAAAAGATAAAATTCCTTGTTAAAATGTAATTTAATTAGGAAAAATGACATTCCTCACTAAATTTTATTTTTTTAATAGTGCACTAATCTCCCAAAAAAAAATTCAAAACACTGCCTCAAAAAAGGGATAGATAATTCAACGGGCTTGGCTTATATTTTTTACTTTATCTAGACATACAGACACATTAACTATATTTTGAATAAGATTACGTTCAATAAAATGCTGCTTAATTAATTGTGTACAATCAATAAATATATATATTTATATATATAATGAAGTTGTTTACTGATTTACTCCCATCAATTTGCCAAATTTATTCTTGCTGCAGAAAGATATGATATTCATATGATCTTTTTCAAAAAATAAAGTATACCTTGATTTTCTAATAAAACAAAACTATACTACAGAAATTTAAATTAATTTTTCTTGCATTATTAAATGTGCATATATATGTGTTTAAAAAGTATTTTTTTTAATCATTAAAATACTGAGATTTAGGCTAGCAGCTTGCATGCAGGGATCTGGGGAGTTAAGGGGGTTGAAACGGGCTTGGAAATGTGGGGTGGCGAAGAGCAATCGCAGAGACGGACCGCTTTGAGGTGATGGAAGCATTGAAACTTGAGAGCTGGGTGTTCAGAAGATCACTCAGAGTACTCTCTCCTTAGCGAGATCCAGAGCTTGTTAGACAGAGACTGGATCGCCGAGGTCAAGTGGTGTTGCAGGGATGCGAATGCGTTGGCCGAGGAGGGGCTAAATGCAGAAAGTGGAGTTCGTTTATTTTTAAGAAAATTATAACTAAATTCTATACAAAAAAAATTAATTATAATAAAATTTATTGATAAGTAAACTAAACTGTATTAACAACTTTTAATTCAATTGTTAATAAATTTTATAATAATTAATTTCTTTGTATGTAATTTTAATATAATCATTCGTTCATTTTTTCACTCCTCTTGGTTGTATCGCCCATGCTATTGCACAGGAGAGCGTGTTCAGTTGACCATCTTTCTTTCCCAATTCCCATTCCGGCACTGTTTCTATTCGATCAAATATAAGAATAATGAGAATCATTCCTTCATTCTATTAAAACTAATTCTTATCCATGTATTTCGCGAAAAATGTTCCAATATTCAAACTTGCGGGCGTAGGTCTTCGAATACAGTTTGACTAGGGTGCACAAAAACTAGGTAAGACTGAATTAGTTGTTAACCGGTACACAATCTTCACATGGTGAAACCAAGATTGGACTTAAGAGTAAAAATAAACTAGATCGAGTTAGGTTTTAATCAAATAGGCTTGACTTTATATGGTAAATTAAAGGTTTGAGCTTGTATAGAATTTTTTTTTTTTACGGTTTAAGCTTAAGCCTATTTAAAAGCCTACTTAAAAATAACGCCTTTTAAATAGGCTCACATTTTAATTTTAAACATCTCAAATATATTTTAGAGCTATTATAATATATAATATATAACATAATTTATCAATTACAATATATAAGAATTGAAAGGACTTACTAACTATAATATAATATAATAATAAAGCGACAATATTAAAATTAATATATAAATATGATTGAAAATATAATTAGAAGTAGTAAAAAATAAATTAATTGAAAATTATATGGTAAAATTGATGTGTTTGTGATATAATATATAATATACATGTATAGGCTAACTTGTTGGGCTCGTAAGTTATGCCTTAAAAAAAGCAT